AGGTGATGTTATTTCAAAGAAGTAAGGCTACACAAATTAAAAGCATGAAAAATAAAGACACCAATCTTTTATGTTTTTTTCGAACTGTTATAGTATTAGCTCACATTTTTGGCTCATGAAAGGGAAACCAGAAGGAATCAGCTAAAATTAGGTGTAGAAGATATATTGCTATGCACAGGTGGAACCCCTCTATTGTTTCTTCCCACTCCCCATTCTTCCACCACTACCTTATCATGTGCACCAAGCACCACATACATTAATTCACCAAGGAAAGTATTTAGCATTGAGTTCTGCAAAGTATCTTCAGCTATCTGCAAGAGTGAATCCTCAAGTGTACTGTGATACTAACTGATCAACACAGTTGAGCCCAAAATCAAGGTGTAAATTCAATTCAACATGAGCCATCAACAACACTACAATTCCAACTTAAAAGATTAGGAGCAGCTGCTGTACTCCCTGTATTCCACAGAACTCCTCATTCAGCTACATAACTGGAGGTAGCAGGTGGTAAAAGATGATGATAGAGTTGCCTTTTTTATCTAGGGATATTAAAATATGCCTGATAAAAGTTGATTGCTTATTTCTTTTCTATGTTAGCAGAGGTCAGGTGAAAAGAGGGGAGGGAGGGGTTTCATTCTACGTCAACCCATGTTTGATCAAGGCTTCTCATTCTAGTGTGTCCTTAGACTGAGCCGCGTGGCAAGATGCATACAAAATGGCTCATATTCCTGATGGTGTCATCCTTGACCTCTCATGCTTTACAAGTATGACTAACTGTTCCTATTTGAGGAACAGATCCATCTTAATGGCCAGTATTCTGTAGAGTCAAAAAGTCTCCCATCCACACACACTCTTTAAAGACAAACACAGAGTCCTCAAGGGTCTTAAAATAGGCTCCACAACCCCATCTATCCAACCAAAGCGCTTTCTGGCATTGAGACAGTAGGAGACTCCAGTAACATTTTCATAGTTACATGCGACTAATGACGCCTCTACCATCACTGGGTCTGTCTGTCAATATACCTTTGATTGGCATTCATAGTGGAGACTGTTGATTAGATAAGTCTGCCAACACTTCAACATAATAAGAGAACAGATTGTCAATAAAAAAGTTTCTCCTTATCTTATTCCATATCAAGACTAATACAACCTCAAATCTTCCTAGACTGTTCAATCCATTCAGCTTCTCAGTTTGTTACCCTGTCTTTTTTAATCTGTACCCATTTTCTCATTTGTAGAAGTCTAGTTTCTCTAGAAGTTAACTCTCTGGAGTTAAGACCCAGAGATTAACTTTTAATTTTTAGGTATCACTGCAAAAATATATACTTCTGTATTCAGTTTTCCAGACTTCCAGTTTTCACTTCTCAAGTAGTTAACAGAAGACGTCAAAACAGGAGCACCACATTTACTTATGAGAAAGCTTAAAAATTATGAAAATAATTGCTTGCCCTACTATTCCTCACTTGATTCTAGCCTCCATCTCCAAAACAGCAGGGACAGCTGTTCACTCCTGTCCTCCCACTACCACCTCAGAAGACTTCAATCTGAAACTGGGCAATGGAGTCAAGATTCAGCAAGTGGAAGTGGGTGGGGTAGATCTGTCACCTTTTCCCTTTCATACCCTCCCTTTGATGGGGAAAGGAATATTTAGCCTCTAACTTATTTAATGATTTTCCCCCCCCTGCAGGGGTCCTGTCTATCACTTCAAGTGAAGTTTCAGCACTCTACAGTATTTGCAAAGCTGGCATGTGGGAAAGTGAGAAGAGATGCTTTGGTCAATGACATTTTCTCCCAGTTCAGTTCCCACAATACCTTTCCTTCATACTTCTTGGCTAAAGTTTGGGAAAAGGTTGAACATATAAAATCCTCAAAGTGCATATGCTACCAAGATCAGAAAGGAATTAAAATAAGCCTTCAAGTACTTGAAAATAGGAGATTCCCTCTATACTTTCTTGGAATACACTAGTTACCATCTTTCAGCATTTTCTGTACCCTATACTCTTTAGCTCTTGTTTCTTTTTCCTGTTAGGTTTCCTCTCTAGCAGCCACTTTTGCTTCTGTAGATCTGTGCTAAGATAAGAATAAGAGGAAGGACAGGTTTCACTTTCTTGTTACAATTAGTTTGGCATTTAGTGTATATACTGAGGCAGGGGTTGTCAACTGAAGCTGTGAAGTAGGCAGCTGACGCTCCAAAAGGGACTCAAAAGGTGGGGTATGGAAACCATCAGCATGCCTTCTCCCTAACCCATATACACAGCCTATCAACTGCAAGCAGATCAAGCTGAAGAGATATGGTTGCACAATGAGTTCTTGCTAAAGCAGCACTTTTAACATCATATAGGATCTACTGAATCAAAACCAGCTGTCACAGGCATCCATTTTCTCATGTTTCAGAATAAGAATCAAAGACTTGCCTAAAAAGCAGAGGGATCTAATAAGACTTTATCTATGCACTTGACATTCTTGAAATTAGCTAAACCCCCTGCTTTTCTAAAGCAATGAAAACATACCAAATTTTAAAAATAAAACACAAAAGCCTTTTGGGAGTCTGAAAATCCTACAGTAATAGATGTAAGTGTATTCCTTTGTACAGCTATATGATACACATTTCAGTAAGTCTATGTCAGCTTTGTAAACAAGACAGAACCAGCTCTGACTAATTGGTGTGACTGCAGTCCTACACACAGGCCAGGGCCAAGCTGTTCTTGCTGTTGAAGATGGGAAAGGAAGAAAAAAAAAAGTTGAGATCTAGGCACATTTTTCTCACTTCTTATTGGTTAAACCCAGCCTTTCATCCCAGAAAAGGCCAGTTCATTTTTGCCTCTTACTGAAAGTCCTTGAATCCTTCTACCTACACTGCTGTTGGACATTTAAAGGAAAACCCCACGGTTGAAGCACTTGCCCTTAGGGCATATGTAGTAAGCCATTTCATTATTCATCCTGCCCTCTCATGGTCCTTTCAGCCAATTAACTGAAGTCACAATTTAAAAGCAGGTGCTGAAGCTGTTAGGTACTACTCAGCACCTTTAGTATTATATTCACTACAAATAGAGGTATCAAAAAAAAAATCTGTCCCTATATCATTGCATTCAAAACCAGAAGTAGTAAAAAAGTTAACATGGCTTGAAGACTATCTTGTCCAGCTTCCAGATGTTTCTAAACACCAAGCAACATTGGCTCTGTTTTCTTCCTCTGATCTAGCAAGAGCCTCTTCTATCCCGTCTTTAGTTTGCACCCCTTGCTTTAGCCATAGAGAATCTTTAAGTTGTCTTATTTCTGGACAGGCATCACAAAAGGCACATTGTTTGTCTCTAAATTTAGAAGAACTACTTTTAATTCAGATTGAAATAAGAATCCTATTTCCAGGGTCAAAAAACTTCAATTGTGCTTTACTCAGAGCTTCAGAATGTGTAAGAAATTTTAAAAGGAAAAAAAAGCATGACTATTTTCCTTCTTCTGGGTTGAGTTTCCAATGCTATAAAAAGAAACTGAAGTTTTCTTACTCCTGTAATCCTAACCAACTAATCTTCCTGCCTCAGGAAACAAAAAACACCAGCTGTTCATTTTCTATTGAGGTTCTGCATCTTTCTTCAGGTTAAGAGGTCCAGTCAGCCAAGCGTGGCAGAAAGCTCATCAGAAGCAGAATATTTTGAACCCACAAAAAAGAAACCGTTCCCTTAAAGGAGGACCATACAGAAGTAGAAAAGTGGAAGAAGATGGTCTGAGCAGATGAAAGTCTTAAGCAAGGCATTTAGACATCTGCTTGAAACAATATGCATGCTCCAATCTATATACACTTAATGAGGTAACTGTTTAAAAGTTAAAAAACAGAAGTTTTCTTATCCCACTAGAATTATTTAAACAAGTCTCTGACTGTGCAGAAACACAGAAAACTTAACTTCTGCAAGAGAACTAACATGGTCTTCATTGCTAGAACTTAGCAATGAGACAGCTCCCACCAGGGTGCATTATACTTCATGGAAACTAGTAATCCAGCCTCTGGAGGCAGATCATCTCCCCTTGGATTCACTGGGGTCTCCTGGGTTCTGGTGAGCTAGAACACTAGGACTTGAGATGCCACAACTGCATACAAAGAACTTGAGTCTGAGGTAAAAACACTATCAAGGCTGCTGTTAACTAAATCACATAGACACAACTGGAAAATAATGCTTACTAGGCGATTACTTTGCCACAGTAATATTCCCCTCTTCCACCAGATTTCCAGATATCCAGTAACTCCTTTGATACTCAAAGATACAGGCTTTGCATCTCCCATCCAGTCAAGCAGGATGAATTGCCAACTCTAAACACTAGTATCGGATACTGCCTATAATAGATCTTTTCATCTGTCCTACAAATACCTCTAATAGCAATCAGATATTCAAGTGATATCAAATGCTGATATTGATGCCGAAACAGGAAAACTAGAAAAAAGATCTTCTGGGAAGATTCACGTAGAAGTGTATGATTTTTCTAGTTAATTTTTGCACATATCTGAGGAGCATAGCAACCACTTACAGGCAGTTTTTGATCCAATTTTTAGGTCTCAAAAGCTGTACATAGGCAAGCTCACAGTGCAGTTTGCTCAGGCATAGGTTTGCTTACAGCTGTTCCATGCAATGCTGAAGATGACTAATTTCAACATAATAAGCTCTTTCGCTTGGTTTTCTTCTTTCTTCAAAGATGTTACTCCTGTATCTATACCTTAAAGCCTAAACATATTCCTGATGGCATACTGCAGGTTTCACCAGTTTGCAGCAGAATCAAACCCATGGACCTAATTAGTTTCTTGCTCTGAGACTTTAGTTTGATCTGTACAGCTTGTGACTGGAGACCTCAGGAGTACATTTTGCACAACCCACCCCCGTTTTAGCACAAATTGTTTGTCTTGCTACCCCTAAAGGCAAGTGAGAGAAATACAGTGAGAAAGCTCAACAACTTTCCCTTTTGTTAGCAATACCTCCTTCTGTCAAGAATTACACCAGAATTTGCTTACTTACATCTAGCGAATCCTCATTGACCAGGATGAGAGACATACTCTGTGAAATGAGTCTGCAAGAGTACCCTGCAAGAGAGAAAAAAAGACACAAGGATTTGCTTTTTGGAAGAATATTAGGAAGAATTCTCAAGACAGAAAAAAGCCTCTTATTTTCATAATAGTGAAAGCCAGTGACTGCAGTACCAGTCAATGCCACTGAAGTAGCAGTTCCTCTGCCACACGATTGCCACTGACATGAGACAAAGTCATATCCAGGATACATATACTTGGCATTTACAGAATATACAGACAGAATAAATGGTTTAATTCAAGCTTGTATTAACAGCAAGAGACAAATGCAAACTCGCATCAGACTGATCCCGTTGTATTATCCTAAAAGCTCATGCAAATTCTCTTGGGATTGGCACAGTCACATAGCTTCATAAAACAGCAGAGAATTCATTTATTTGAAGCACATACCTTTTATTGCTGATCTAAGTTACATAGGAAAAGGAAATACAATAGAATTATTTTGTATTTCTACTGTGCTTTTGTATAGAAGTGAATCACAGCAAGTTTAAGAAATTGCTGTCATAAAATGAGGCCTCAGGAAGTCTTTTACTTTCTTAAACGGAGACTGGAAGCTACTGCCATATAAGAGTAACATCCCAGTGATGAACCACTGCAAGACTGACAGATTCAAGGGCAGAACAGCATAGCCAATGTAAAAAGATTAAGTGTCTCTCTCCATATCTCACAACAGCAAGAGAACAACTGAGGCATTAATTTGTTTTCTGTGGGATACTTGGTTCCTTAGGAAGGCCACACTGGCTCATCAATTTGCAATGCAAATCATTTCCTCAGGCTACAGAGTTTTTATAATTGGATTATACCTACAAAACTTGCCCAAGGTTAACATGCCTGCATGAACAACTTCTGTCAAGAAAGCAAATCCCTCATCTTCCTTTGTGGAAGGCATGCTTATATCACATACCAGGCACTTTCAGGCAGCAGGTTTGATTAACTGCAGAAGTTTTGTTCCTTTTCCATTTTCACAGCTGTATGGAATATGAACATCACATGCAGCCTTGCAGATACATTATCATCTTATTTGTGTTAACAAGCTAAGGTTTACTTTCTGCTTTAGAGAACAATACAGAATGACATTGAACTCACACACACCTGTTGGGAAAAGGATGAAATATATTCTAACGAAGTGCAGCCTACAACATGAAAGCTTTGCAGATAGCCTCCGATTCTGCCTGTGAACAAGTCTTAGGTGGTAGTACAGAAATGAGTAATGAAGCTTCAACAGGTATAGACAAAACACTGACTTGGGGAAAAAACTCAGTTTGCCATTTTTAAAAGTCAGGTCCAGGCTGAAGAACCACTTCCTTATTTTTACTGAGGAGAAAAAGAGGCTGTTACAAACTTAAGTACTTCCCTCCATGTCAGGGTTATTCTTTCCCCAGGGAATGGCAACAGCTTTGTCCATTAGGCTGTTACAAATTCAGTATAACTACTTCAAAAGGATTTTCTAGTAGCATTTGATTGGAACAGCAGCTGCAATAACAGGCTGTAATTTCTAAACCACTGCTCACTATTTCATTTTACCTCTTTCAAAAGATGCCACTCGAGAAGTGGAGCTGGAAAAAAACACACCTGTGAAAAATAGAGTTGCTCTGCTGTGCATTTTGGAAGTCATGGAGTCAGAAGACCTAATCCTGCAATTGAGGTCATTTTGTGTCTTATCACATTAAACAGGAAGGAGATCAAGATTGGAATAGGAAGATAGAAGTCAAGCCTAACAACAGGTTATAGGAGATCTACACATTATGTAGAATTTCAGGACTATGAAGTTAAAATCTAGCACTAGTATAAAACAAAGTAACCGGCAACTGTAAAATAAGTGACATCTGTAGTCATATTTTAAAGTTTTTAATGGTTTTATAATAGTTTCATAATAGTTATTACTAGCAGTACTAACATGGCAAGCAAAAAATACACTAAGATCAGGGCATATTTTTGTCTATGCTTCTCAGTAGAATAAGATCAACTGCTGGTTCAAAGCCAAGTATAAAATGTCAATCCACACCTCTAAGTTGATATCTAGCTCTTTAATTTAAAAGTCTGAAAGTCCATGAAGCAGATGAATCAGGTACTTCTGGGACTTACTTCCCTTCAAGTGTCCTGGGAGAAAGATTGCTTGAACCAGAGTTCAGGATCATAGCCCACAGGCATATTCATCCCACAGGCATACAGAATCCAGCATCTGAGCCAAGAATGGTTATGCTCTGTGTTTAGAGAGGGCACATGTGCCCTGCTTAAACTTCGCATAGGGATACAGGCAAGGATGCTGACATTGCTTCCATTCTCTCAACTGAAAAATCATGGCTCACCATAACAGAAGTATTCGTACCTCTAAATTGGAGAGATATGGGTTTGATGGATGGACTGTTAGATGGATGAGGAATTGGCTGGATGGCCACATCCAAAGAGTTACAGTCAATGGCTCAACATCCAAGTGGAAACCCGTAATGAGTAGTGTCCCTCAGGGGTCAGCCTGGGACCAATACCCATTTAGTATCCTCATCCATGACAGACAGTGGGATTGAGTGCACCCTCAGCAAGTCTGCAGACAACACCAAGCTGAACAGTGCAGTTGATATGCTAGAGGGAAGGGATGCCATTCAGAGGGACCTTGATAGGCTTGAGGACTAGGCCTGTGAGAACCTCATGAAGTTCAACAAGGCCAAGTGCAAAGTCATAGAATCGTAGAATAGTTTGGGTTGGAAGGAACCTCTAAAGGTCATCTAGTCCAACCCCCCTGCCATGGGCAGGGACATCTTCAATTAGATCAGGTTGCTCAGAGCCCCATCCAACCTGACCTTTAATGTCCTGCATCTGTGTTGTGGCAATCCCAAATACCAGTCAGTACAGACTGGGCGATGAGAGCAGCCCTACTGAGAAGTACCTGGGGATACTGGTGGATAAAAAAATTGGACATAAGACCCCACCTGGAGTACTACATCCAGCTCTGGGGCCCCCAGCACAAGACAGACAGACCTGTTAGAGCAGGTCCAGAGGGCCACAAAAGTGATCAGAGGGCTGGAACATCTCTCCTGTGAAAAAAGGCTGAGAGATTTGGGGTTGTTCAGCCTGAAAAGGCTCCAGGGAGACCTTTCAATATATAAAGGGGGCTTATAAGAAAGACTGAGAAAGACTTTTTACCCATGCTGTAGTGACAGGACAAGGGGCAATGGTTTTAAACTGAAAGAGGGTGGGTTTAGACTGAACATAAGGAAGAGATCTTTTAAAATGAGGGTGGTGAGACACTGGAACAGGTTGCCCAGAGAAGCTGTGGATGCCCCATCACTGGAAGTGTTCAAGGTCAGGCTGGATAGGGCTTTGAGCAGACTTGATCTAGTGAAAGACATCCCTGCCCATGGCAGGAAGATTGGACTACATCTTCAAACGTCCCTTCCAACCCAAACCATTCTACGTTTCTATGATTGTAAGGCAGTGCTCACAGCTATGAATGCATACTCTAGGTAAGAGCACTTACCAATCCCCACAGTTGAGCTTCCTTGTTCAAGGGAGAGATGCAGTTCAGTAAACACCACACTCCCATTCCTAGAAAACAATCTGTTACTACAGAAGTTATTCGCTGGAAATACATCAGTTCTGATTTTCTGGGAGCCTGCTGAGCATCAGAATGGTAGTAAGTAGAAGTCTGCCGTGTTTGGGGTTTTTTTGCCTCACTGAAAGGCAAAGAAGATCCAGAGTCTGCAGATTGTTTTAAGAGAAGGATGAAGCTACAAGAACACTTAAGCCTTCTAGAGTTGTTTGCAGACACGGGCTCAGGACAGTTTCAGATGGTAAAAACTGAAGACCATATGTCATGCTCAAAGATGTTTCTGAACCAGGAACTCCTATTTTCTATAGGTAGAGAGTTCAAATGGTTGATTAGTATTAAAGCTTATCAGGAACACACTCCTCACCTGCAGCACTATCAGCTGACACATGGCTGAGTGGAAGGCATACAATCACCCCACAGCAAGGTCAATCATTACCCTTCAGAGAAGTCAAGAATGCAATCAAGAGACAACAGACACAAATTCTGAAGGCCAAAGATTCAAGAGGAAGCTGGAAGAACAAAGCACTCCAACTCCTTGGGGCAGCTGCCAAGAGCTCAAATATCCTTCAATACATATGCATAGCCATATAGCAAGCAAGAGTCCATAAGCATAATGAGAAAGTGAAAATACTTTTTACTCCCCAGATAGTATATTTACACCTGAAGCAAAGTGTACATGTGGATTGGGTTTTAAATTGAATGTTCATTAGTTTTAATAGGTTACATACAAAAACTGGAAGGGTGCCACATGTTTGTACTTTCAAGCCAACTTGAACATGAAGCTAATTAAGGTCCAGAGTTTTACTACCAAATTGTACACTGAAAGTGATAATTTAGAAGTTGTAAGGGAGATGCTTATTTTTTTCAAGTTGCTGTCATACAAAAAGTAACTTTTAGAGACAAGTTGGAGGTTAGTCTCCTTCACAGCCTCCAGAATAAGCAATTGCTGTAAAGCTCATATCCTTGTGTTCAGGCTAGCTGCTGTCAGTTAATATATCAACTTATTTCAGGTATTTATGCCAAAATCTGTAGCTACTTTTTTTTTTAATTTGTCAAAAGATGATGCTTCTCTCCTCTCAAGTTGACTACTGCTTTTAAAGAAAGCAAAATCTGCAGATAGTGATTCAAAACCAGAAAAGTAGACAATTGACTTAAATGCTAGTTAAGCCATCCACCTTATTTCTATAACTGTATCAGTTCAGCACGTTATTTCATCTCTTGGTACCAACTTCGACAAACAAAGATACATGAACCTTGATTCAGTTTTGATATGTAAACAAAAATTGTAGTCAGTCAAGCAGACTACATTCTGAAATTCCACTAAACCAACCAAAGCAGAAAAAAATAAAAAGTTGACAAAGAATAACAAATGCACAAAGTTTTGCTAAAGGTAACGTAAGTTCAGTTACAGAGCACCACAGTTCTGCCAGGAGGAGCCTGAAATACACCCAGACCCATCTACATGTAATCCTATGTATAAAAAGCTTCATTGGTCACATTCTTCTTATAGTTAGAGAATCCTGAAGTCAACATGGCCTTCAGAAGGCTAAAGAAATAGCTCCTTCAACAGAAGGCAACCTATGCTGTTAAGGATCCCCTTAAACTACACTTGTACATCTAAACAGACTAATTTGCACATCTGAATGAAATTGTGGATGGCACTTTACATGGGCACACTAGAGAGTGGAGATAAGCAGAGTGTTCTAGACTTAAGAAACAAGGTGAAAGCATCACTCAGTTTTGCGAGATGTCAGATCACCAGAGTGCCACTCTGCCTCTTTCCTTCTGCGGGCAGATTTACCAGTTACAGGGAGAAAAATCATCAAAAAGAATACAAGAGCATCATGGCACTATATTGCCAAGGATGCTGTATTTGGGAGATATGTGATGTTATGGGGCAGGGGGTGCTTATATCAAGATCTGTTCCCTTACTAAGTCTTTACTACTCAGTTAAGACCTGGATAGCCCTTCTCCTAGGAGGCTACTAGTGTTGTGTGAAGGGCTACGGCATGATGGCAGCATAGGTATAGCTCAAACCAGCATTTCAAGCACAGCAGCATTCTGTGACAGCACAAGGTATTGCTACCCAGGCTGCCCATCTTGCAAGCATCCACAGTGAGAAAGAGGCTGAAGGATTTGAGTACTTACTAGACCTACTCATGTGGCATATCCAATGCAAGACTAGCACAATAGCCGAAGTGCTACAGAGTACAACATCTAGTTGCTATAAGATTGAAATTATAATGTGCACCTCTAGTTCAGCCCAGCCTTACAGTAAAATCTTTGTTTGACAAATTACAAGTAGAGTTGGGTATATAGACTGATTTTATCAGATACATTTATGATCTAAAAGGAAACCTAACGTTTAAGGGCTGCTTCTAATAACGAACCTAAACTTAGTGCTAAAAACTCTCCAGTTTTATGCTGCAAAAACAGGTAGTCAGATAAACACCTATGTCTTAAGCAGGTTACCATTCTATTACATCAGTACCCAAGCACACCTGTCATGCTTAAATTTGTGCTTTTCACTCACATCATTGCAAGATTTTCTTTTGCATTACAAAGAATATACTTTGTACATCAACAAGTTTGAGACGAGGATATCCATATTGTGCCTTGATAAAACAACCCATATTAAACTGTCCATACACTCGACAGCAGCAACACACTTCCACTAACGATCATGACATACTTGACTAACAGGTGTGCCATAAGGTGACAGCAGGAGCAGTTATTCAAGCATCCACCTACTTTCACAGACAAGGTTTGCAAGAAGTTGTAAGCTATACACTTTGTATTACCATATTTCCCATCATATCCCAAACTCCATTAAAGTCTAGAAAAGGCAGTCAGTAAGAAAAGAAAAAAGCCGTTAAACAATTGATATAATGCACAGTATAACTGAAACATTACGGTCTGGTTGAGCTCTCCAGTTTCCATCAGAACACAGTTACCTATATTCACTCCATACAAGAATTGCACTTAACCAAGAGCAGAAGTGTCCCTTTTGCCTTAAAAAAAAAAAAACCCTGAACATAGCCCGACACTCAGAGCAAAGACTTCACTCCAAAACACCCACTTCTCCAAAATGAAGGCTACCACATGCCCATCTGCTACCAAGGAACCATTCTATAAAAAGCAGGCCTGTTTTTGTTTAAACCCCACACAGCAAATCTAGTATGTAATCTGCCACATATCAAACAAATTCAGCATAACCAGAAAGATGGATACCTATATTGAGAGCTGTTTCCTGTTTGTCCCCTGTCAGAATCCATATCTTAATTTCTGCCTTCATTAGTGTGGCTATTGTTTCTGGAACACCTGCTTGCAGGCGGTCTTCAATGGCTGTAGCTCCAAGAAGCAGTAAATCCTGGAAAAAAGAATTTGAGGGATTATTTTCTTAAGATAAACCTTTGTTTGGAACACACTCAAAAAGGAATTAAAGACAGCATGTTGCGCCTTATTGCTAATACAACATTTTGACAAGCAATATACACTACAGAAAGTTTCTGGTGTGGCTAGACTACTTCCTCTGCATACAATCCTCATTTCAAGAGGTACAGAATGGAACAGAGTGTGTCTGATCAGAAAGATGGCAATGGTTCAAGAGCAATTAATTGAAGTTATACAACTCCAGAGCTAGCCTATGGATGAACATATATACTAGAGCATTCACTAATCACCATAGCAACATGATGAGTGGTCACAGTTTATATATTTCTTAAGCTCGCAAAAAAAAAGTCACCTGGCATCACATCATTTAAACTAATTTCCCTCCCATAAAATGTACATACAGACTGGATACAATCACTCAAAGCAAAAATTGAAACTATTTATGGATATAATAATTACATTTATGTAATACAAGTGGTATGAACATTAATCAATCCAAGTATCTCTAGTCCACATACAGATGTCTGCCAGAAAAACATCTCATACAACAAACTTAATACTACAAGAGTTAGCCATAGTCTTAGGCAATTCTAAAGCAATTGCTTGAAGAGATTTGGCCATGTTACAGGGAAAAAAAAAGGTCAGGCAGACAAAAATACCCAAGAAACAAACCTTGTCAAAAGGCACACTCTACTCAGCAGAATTTTAACTTTAAAAGCATTTTAATGATTCCTTAGACATGTAAAGATGTTCAATTTAAATAAATTTATACAAATTGAGTTTAGTTATACTGTATCATTTCAGGAATTGCACAAAAAAAAGTAACAGCTTCTATTCTTTGTAGGGACTAAAATTATTCAAAACAAGTGAAAACAGATGAAGTGAACAGAAGTAGTTAGGAGAGCTGGTGTTGTTCAGCCTGGAGAAGACAAGGGCTACAGGGGGACCTTATTGTGGCCTTTCTACATATGAAGGGGGCTTATAAGAAAGATGGAGAAAGACTGTTTACCAAGGCCTGCAGTGACAGGACAAGGGGCAATGGTTTTAAATTGAAAGAGGGTAGATTTAGATTGAACATAAAGGATTTTTTTTTTTTAAATTACAATGAGGGTGCTGAGACACTGGAACAGGTTTCCCAGAGAAGTTGTGGATGCCCCATCACTGGAGGTGTTCAAGGTCAGGCTGGATAGAGTTTTGAGCAAACCTGATCTAGTGAAAGATGTCCCTGCCCATGGCAGGAAGATTGGACTACATCTTCAAACATCCCTTCCAACCCAAACCATTCTATGATTCTATGAAGAGGGCATTAGAGCAGCTCCGGCTTGTATGCATCTATACATGCATAAGGAACAGAAGGGGAAGTTGTTATTCATACAGACGTGTAGGCTGGCATTAGTTACGGGTCTTGATAAAGCTTGAGTTTTGTTATGAGATATTCAGCTGGTAAAGGTAGTAGAATCAACTCCCATAAGTCATTTGCTTCAGTACCCTATAGCCTCTTGATGAAACATTAGCCCTGCTGATGCTAACAACACTCGAAGGTTACAAATGCAATCCAAGTGTGCAACTGTAGATTGTCTTTTATTCCCCAAATCACTTATTAAGCAGTTAAACATGACAGCACAGGGATCAGCATGGCTGAGCTACCTGAGCAGGGGAGTGACTATTGCACCTGCTGAAGCCCTCTCAGCCAGTGTACAGGTGGAGAAGGTAACCAGTTCAAGTTTGTCTCCACACGTGCTCCTGTACTATGATCCAGTGACCTCAACACTCAGACTGACAAAGTAGCTCTCCCACTCTCATTTGAACGCTTAGATGAAAAAATCAGCCTGTTAAAATACATTATATTTTATGTTACAGCCACAAGCCAGTTTAGAAAGGAGTGACTACAGACCGGAGAATTTAACCTGGGAAATACCAGCACTAAGAAAAAAAAAAAAAGAATTTAAGCTTCAAGTGCAATTCCCTGCTCTCCTTGGTATGACCAGCAAGCAAACATTAACAGGAAAGGAACACAGTGGATGTTTCCTACCAGTATGGCACTAAGTCCAGAACTCCAATTCTACAACCCACTCATGGGTCCCCGTTTTTCAAGATATTAAATTGTGAAAAGAGGCAGAAGGTAGATGGCCAAAAATGATCTATGGTTTGAGAACACATTTTAAAGAGAATCAATCCATGTTCATTTTTCACCTCAGTGAAAACAGAAGAGTACAAGAGCACAGTGCAGGAAGCAGAAAGCTGAAAGGAGCTATGCAAACCTACAGAATCAAGGATTAGATAACCACACTGCTACTGACCAACCAACACAAAAGATGACTTTAGGTGTTAGTTTGAAAAGCAAGATCCAATCTTCAGCTATTAAAGAGTTAGAGTTTTTCTGTTGTGCTATGAAAGTTAGCTCCCATCCTAGTCTCAACCTCTTTCCCTCTTCTGCCCCAACTAACTTAAATAACCAACAGTGCTCTAAGTTGCATTGTTAATATTAATTAAAAAAAGAACTTGAAGTTCAAAGAGTGTTTTAAAGAAACCACTAAATAAAATGAGAATGAAATAACTGGAGCAAGGAGAAAAAGCATGAATAAGTGTAGGTGAGAAGTGGGACTACCAGCATTTCAGAAAGCAGTAAGACCAACAAGTATCACAGAAACACTGGCCTCTAGTGTCGACATTTTAACATTTCATTCAATGTGGTATTGGAGAGTTTCAAACTGGTTCTCTGACACCTACTTTCCCCTTCCAGAATTACGAGTTCCGCAATTTGTACGGAAAGCAGTTTTTCATCTTTTTTTCAGTCCATGCGACCACAGGCCCTGGTGAGCACTTTGTTTTGTCTACAGTGTCTACAACAGCCTTCAGAAAACCTGAACTGTGACTGCTGTATGAAAAGGAACAAGTTTCTCTTCATATACTAGTAGTGAGAACTTGGTGCAACACAACAATTTTATACATTATCTTTATCAAGTTACATCAACCCTACACAAGATAGCAAGATAAAAAGAACGTGAGAAAAGAGTTTGTAAGTAGCAATGACCTTTTATACATAAGTTAGTCTCAGATCTACGAACTAAAACTTGAGAGGTCTATGGACTGAACAGGTTGCCAAACCTTTTCAGTTTCTCATGAATGAAATTAAGTTTGTTTTACTGTATAAAGCCCAAATTCCATGGGAAAAGACACATATAAGGGAATCTGTATCTGATCATCAAAAAAGTACGCATCTTACCTTTTCAATGATCTCATAGCATTCCTCCAGCTTCTGAGTTCTGTCTTTCAGAACTGTACTGATTTCATTGTAGACATTCAACCACTCTCTGTAAGAGTTTTCTGACAGGTCTGCATAAGCAATGCACAAAGTCCTCAGACCTACAAAACAGAAGACAGCCATTACACACAGTAGAGTTACACTGAGTATCAGCAAATCATTAATGCCCTAATGAATGCTAAATTCTAACTCTCTCACTGGAGCCAACAGAAGCTTTTAACGCACACTTAAACTCTGGATTCCAGAACATCTCCCTGTACATTTTTAAAGCATTTGGATTTTCACAAATGTAAAACAAGAGTCTGGCTCATTTAGGTTACTAATGTTGGTGCAAATCAAAGGAGAGCCTAATGGGCACAAACTTCCCCCTAGTTTTCAGTATTGCAATCTAGTCATACTGGAGCAACAAAAGGGTCATCTTTAATCTTTTTAGTTCAAGTATGAAAGCAAGCTTGGCTTTCATTATTTTTAAAAAGATCAAATTAAACAAAGAACTGGCTACACACAGTGATTGGAGATATTAGTCAAACATACTGCACAGCCCATGTTTCCTTTTAGAAAGACTGTTTTCTCCTTCAGTGTATACACATAAAACTCACATTAAAAATGGGAGTTACACATGCACAAAAGAGTAGAGAATAGGGCCCACGAAGTATGAAAAACATTTTATTAGACCACTGACAAAAATTAACATACAGAAGTAATGTTTTTTTTTTCCTGGCATAAGTCAAGCAGAAAGGAGCGTGTGCCACAAAATACAAAAGTTTAGTTACTGAGAATGTAGGAGTCTGCAAAAAATATATATTTTTTTTAAAAAAGCTGAATAAATAGTGTTTTCAGATTTAAGGAGAAAACCACTGGTTCATGGTTTTACTATAATACAAATATTTTCTGCTACTGCAGAAGAGGGAACACCACCAAGTACTTCCCTGTGAATGGAGGTGTTACATCAGTCGTAAAGACCTTAGAGACCATTTCAGATCATCTTTGATGTCTTGGTCTTCCAGGCTTCTCAGCACGTTCAGGTTATCATTCTGCTTCATAAAGCCTGGGACTTTGTCATTTGACTTTCACACTGGCAAAAACACCTCTAACTCCAGTGTAATCGAGCTGTTCTGGGCAATAGAACTCATGCCCTTTCCCTTCATCATGGCCACAGAGAACCCCATCTTTCCCTTCCAAATTCCACTTCCCTACTGAAAGCACATAGAAGCAGGGCATAAACTGCCTTAGGCTTAAAGTTATCCTAGAGTTGTTAGTTTTCTGATTACACACCACTTCTTAATTTATCTTCATAACCATATTATTTGGTACTGCAAAGCTTAGACAATGCAGAACATGCTGCAAGTTGAATTCTCATGATATGCTGTTTCTCTTACCTTCTGTTGCGAAGTATTCAAGATGGCACAGTGTTTGCTCCATATACTGGGAATCTTTTGAAAGCCTCTCAAAAATTACATTATCCTATTAAAACCAAATTCATTACAACAGAGTGAGTCTACATATGAAGTTCCCATTTGTTTATTTACAAGCTAAAGTGACATAACCTGAGTAAATGTACTAATATCAGAACCCAAGGCTATATTTACAGGTAATGTATGTGGGTTTTAGAGACTCTGGTTTGAGTAAGTAATCTGGATTGTGCTCAGTGGCAGAGATACTGCATCCACTTTAAATAACAGGGACAGAAGCACACTCTGCCCTCCTCTTCTCTTTCTATACAGAGGTCCCCATTATTGGGCAGTACAGAACACTCCTTTCTGAATTACTAAGCGGATATATTGATTTTCAGATAATATAAGCACAGTCTTATTCAGTACACATTGTAGTCCCATACAGAAGAGCTTCTTGCAATACTTTCTAGAAAAGATTCCCATTGATGTTAAAAAATAGAAAGCAGAAACACTGAACAGGTTCTACTACAAAATTCTCTCAGAAATAGCCTTCCTCCTGCAGCAACTTTCTTCATCACTAAATAAAAGGACAATTTTAAAGGCACAGATAACAGCTAAAAATCAAAATGCAGCAGCACCATCACCTACATATCTAGAATGTCTGCATTGTATTCTGCAACTACCAGAAGCTGCTACATACATGTAAAATACACAAACCCTGCTCTTGCTCAGATATGTACTCTTCCAGCTAAGTAAACAGGCCTACATTTATCACTGATTAAAGATAGGCATACAAAACAAGTAATTTATGATGGATGTGACAGGATGGGAGATGACTATCAGAATGTGGAAGAGTTCACATAGAATAGACAGTTAACTTGTAGTTTAGATAAGTGGTGGATGCAGCAGAAGATACAAGACAAGACACCAGATCACACTACTTACTACAACCCTTTTGCTCTGTTAGACATCTGAGTCCACTCATACAGAAGATGACATGAAATTTTTTACTGTGAACTCTCCTGTTCTCCTTCCCTTCCAGTGCCATACTCCAAGAAACAGTGTGAACACAGGCGTGGTATGAGCAACAAGCAGTTGCAGATCTGTGTGATCCTACTAGGCATACAACTTTGAAATACTGCACAATGGCAGTGGGCTTAATCCACTCCCACCACACCAGCATGAAGCCAGCACATCTTTATCAAATGAGGGGAGTTAAACTGAAGCAACAGAGCAGTGCACCCAGACCTATATGTCAAGACAAATTCAAGTAAACCAGATCCTTACAGAAGTCAGAAATAGTTTTCCCTGTCGCAAAAAGCCACCTGCATGGGTTTCCATTGAAATTAGAACCACTCTCTGGCTGCGGCCAATGCTAGTTTTGCAGCCTTTGTACTTTGATAAGTTATTGCTCTTGTCAGTGATGACAGAAGCACAACATGGTGCAAGTCACGATGACAAATACCAGCAGGTGCAGAGATGCAAGAACCAGATCAAGAGCCAACCACTTGAGAACAGATTTAGACAGCAGCATTTAGTCTAGCTCCTGAACTGCTGCTGCACAGCTGGGTGAAATCCTGCCTTTGCATCAATAAAGGGTACTGCTCCCATTAGTTTCAGAATTTCAGCTGGGTAGTAGAAAGCAATCTTCCTGCCTGCAAAAAGAGCCAGAGAAGGAATGACACTTGGCCCTAAACAGAAAGCCAACAGGTATTATGTATGAGACATGAAATGCCAGCATCAGCCACAGCTGTTGAAACAATAACTGGTAGTGCTAGTTCTCCATTAGGTAGCATAATTACTTACAGCCCCTTTGCAGTAGAGACGTAGCTGTCCCGCTGGAGTTCGAACAATCACTGACATTCTCTTCCTGTTGCTATTGGAAGAAAAATATTTGCTTTTATTAGTCATAGTGATGACAATAAGTCCTCTTCTAGCCAGTGAATTCTCAGATGTGCTTAGTGCATCTGACATCAGGTGATATGTAACAGTAGTAACTTAAGACCCCACAATCCTTGACAGCAAGGATAAATACTAAATTGTCCATTTCCAGGTTCAGCCCTACAGCTCCCACCGGTGAGCACTAAACCAGAACAGACTTGAACCCAAATGTGAGCAAGAATTTGGAAAAAAGCAAGAAATCCTCTTGAAAGAAGGGGAGTCACATCTATTCCTAGCTTTTCGTTATTCCTCAAGCAAAATTGTTTTGGGGACTCAGGCTAGAAATGGAATCATTAAGGCTGAATGCATATTTATTATAAGGATAACAGACACTGAAATAACCACCCACTGACAAGGGCAGTTATTTAGCTTCCTAACTCAAAAGAATGCAGAAATGTCATAGAAAGGAATCACGATATAGACCAGCTCTTGGCCTCCCTATAGGTTCTTTATATTGGTCTAATCAGAGCTACATAGTTAGGATTATGTAGAACAAAGTCAGACCCTCCAAGCAGGGCTGCGTATCAAGACAGTCAAGTTTGGGATATTTTTTTAAAATAAAAGGTAAACACTAGCATACTGTACACAGATGTTTAACAAAGGAAGGTAGGCAAGGATATATATTTTTTTTAAAGATCAATTTTGGCATTTCACTTATCAATCTCTCTTTTAAAAAAGAGCCACTGAAAAAAAAAGCAGCTTGTAAGAGGCAGAGGCAAGCAAATCAACTCTCATCAAGAGAACCCTAAGAACACATGGTTTCATACTCAAACAAGTTATCTGTAACTATAATTCTTTTCCTTAGGAAAAGGAGAACTCGGAAGCATCCTCCTTCCTCATTCCCTTCCTGCCAATATGTACAAACAGATCAGAGTGTAGAGGAATCTTCCTCCTCTGACATTGCTCTTGGAAATTCTAGCCCCTTTTCAGGACTCAAGAGCCATGTGTAAGGAAGTAAGCTCTTGGCATGTATGATCAGACAAAACAATCCTTTCCGAGACTTTCTAAAGAAAGTCTGGAAGGACAGCAATTAGCTGTGCCCAGAATTTCTGCAAGTTAATGACACTGGGAAACTTCCTTGTGCTTTTTGAAATCTAATTATAGGAACTCCCTTCACTAGTCAAGTGGGAGATTGCTACACACAGGGAAGAGTTAAGACAGCTTTTTTTCTGCTGCATGCAGGCTACAGCTACTCCTGTCTACAGACACCAGGATACTGGTCAACTTGTCAGAAAGCCTAAAAGACTCTTCTAGTACCTTTTTAGATATTCCCACAAGTAGCCTAAGTAACTACATTCTGAATGAAAAGGGGAAACTAGTCAGGAGTAATCTTCAAAGCAAGCCAGGACACAAGAAAAGCTGCCTACGCAAATCTTCCCAGACTTTAGTTTTACATACTCCTTTAGAGCAGAACCAGCCAACTCAGAGGGCAGAAAACAAGACTTTAAGGCTTTAAGACACAGAAAGTATAAAAAACAGCAGAAAAGCCTGCTGACTAGCACCATCCAAACTGACAAAACTTTATCAAATGACAAAGAGAAAGCACCTTTTATCATCTCCAGTGATTCAGGGGCCCGATTCATCACACAAAGCTTCTTGCTACCCAAGCAGTGTCCATCCTAACTAGCCTGACAAGTTAGGAGTGCTTGCAAATCTAGTTTTTCATAGCTAGACTGGTTCTTAAAAATGGGCACCAAAAAGCCCTCTTGTAGATTCCACCTACTCAAAACCAAGTAATTTACAGAAGCACTATAAAAGTGCAATCTCAATCTCAAAGCATGCTCTTGAAGTAGACAAGTGACACACCAGGAAATCAGTGAGGCACAGAATGACACTTTCAGGGCAGCAACTTCTCAATAAGCCAACAGAGCTGGAGTGGCAGGGGAGAGCTTCATGCGCACATGCCAACAGCCACCAGTTTGTAAGAAGCTCTGTATTAGCCCTATATTGGAAACAAGAAGATGGAGGGGCAGGACAAAATTAAGGCAATTCAGCTTTTCTACTGCATCAGCTGAATCTTTTTATTCTCAATAATATATTTACAAAAATGGCTTTCTTGTTACCCTGCATTTAGTATATTAGAGGAAAACTTACCTGGAAAACTCCAGCACGTTAAGAATTTCAAAGGTTTTTTCCTTTCCCAGCTACAAAAGAAAGTATGTACTATAAGTATAATTTGCAGTACATTCTTACATGAAAGTTGGTTTAACACCTTTGTTTACACAGCCCAGTGTAAATAAAATGTGGTAATAGCTCCCTCTGCTGGTAAAAGTGTTGTAGAGCCCTATTTAATGAAGGTATTCTACTCTTACTTGAACATGTAATATTGTGGCATCCTCATTTACTATTTTTACACCAATTCAAGGAACTAGTATCTTACTCTGGGAGGATAAGCATGCTCTGAAAGTTAGTCTGCATATTTACTACATAACAGCTATCAACTAAGAGACATTACAAAATGTGAGCATTACTCCCAGTTAAAATAATCATGCCATCCAGATTTGGTATTACAAAAAACTTTGTCTAAACTGACTTAGTATTTCTTTTACTTGAGTTTACAAGCATATTAGATTTTTTTTCTGTGGCAAAAAATGGTTAACTGAGGAGTAATTCCTGTTATCACCAACAACTGTTTGCTAGGGTTGAGCATGAGCAACCTGAGGAAGGAAAAGGATTTAGAAATTACTTGTCTCTGCCATTCCTGTTGTACAAGAGATAGTAGGAGCAGCAGGAGTTACTGGAGTCTCAGAACTCCAGTAGTACTTGTAGCACGTGGTTAAAGAAAGGGCTGTAGCAAAAACTAATCGCAGTAGAGTTATGTCCTACAAGGCACATATCAATTCAGCAATATCCTCAAGGCCAAAAGCCATCTCCAACCCACATTACATGTACTGTCACAGATGTAGGCAATGAGGAGAGACAGGAACCTCTGGAGTGACAGCTTTTATTGCTGGCTATAGACTGACCATGCTCCCAGCTTGGCATGTATGAGGAGTATAAAACTAGGTCAGCTGGGCCTGGGTCTTCCTGCAGAGGAGAGAAGAGCCTAGATAACTCTAGATGACACTGCTCATCCTAAGCTCTTCCCCTTAAACTAAGCAGCAGTTTTCTGAGTAGTTGTAACAAGTTTGTGACAAGTCCTAGAAGGATATATGTTTTAAGTGCTTAGCTTGGCAGTGTACCAAGAAACTTGAAAGTGAATGCACCTGAGAGGAAGGACAAAAATACACCCGTTATTCTTAATAAGCACCCTACTATGTATTCCAGAGACCAAGTTCTCATCTTAGTTGCACCTGTGTAAATCTGAAGCCACTTTAGCTTAGACTGCAACTTAAGTCAGAATGTGGCCCCATGAGTTTGAGACTGCCTGTGTCAACTCTAATCCATTAACTACACACCCCTGCATACAGAGCTTGTTAAGCAGATACATCTTCTACAGAAGATCTTACTCAGAAGAAAAATTTCATTTTAATACAAGAAATCAAACATTTAGAAGTACAGTAACCACTAAACATAATAGTTAGAAAATCTCCCAGGCACGTGAATTTCATTCTGACATGCTCATCTGTGCTTCCCAGACAAGGAAAATATTCTTCAGGCACAACTGCTGTCATTTCCCATACAAGCTTGCAACTTCCTATTGCCCATGCCACAGAGAAGGGCAGAGGACTTTGCATCTACAAAAGAGATTAAAACAACTTTTCCCAGTCTGCAAAAGCCTTTTGCATGTAGCATCCTAAAGGCCCTGTAAAGGGGAACTCACAAGAACCACACAGGAGACATTTATGCTCTGCATGAGCTTGGCAGTCTGTGCCATGCACATCTACTACTTACCGCATCAATGATAACCGAATGCGGAGTCCGTCCTGTGAAGACATAACCAAGTTTTTTTGCTCCTTTCACTAATGCCCCTTCATCTGCCAATACAAGAAAAGCTTAGATTTAATCTGGCATGTAGAAGAGGCCTGTAAAGCCCATATTTAAATACGCCACAATGCCAAAACGCAGAAGCCCCCTTTCCCCATGTACTCCCACATCTGTAGGGCTGCTAGAGTAGCTCTGCACACACTTCCACAAGAACATTCATATTTTAGTCCTACAAAGGCCATGTAATACCAACTACACAAACTTCATACTCAATCTGTATAAAACATCCTGTAACTACTGAAGCATTAAACTCAGTTGTTGTGGAGGAGTCATACTTTTCTACATTAAAGAGGGGAAATACCTGTTCCGAAAGCAAGATCAAAGCTGTGTTACTGTAAATTCCTACAACATGCATTTAATCCATTTCCCGCTGTAAAGGCACTAAGTTCAGGTGCTATAGAAATACGTACAGCATTGTCTTCTGGAGACTGAACTGGGCAGTGTCATTAAGAGCTCAAATAAGCAAGCTGAAACCAGAACCAACACTTCTACCCCTACTATGTAGTTATACAGCCTCATTAAGGAGCAAGTGGTATTAAGTACAACCACCGTACAAGTGAATTTAGTGCCCAGCTCAAGCAACCCTAATGTCTCTACAGCTCCCTTGGTCTTCTCACAGTTCATCAACACTGCGACTAGAGCTGCCTTACACAGGCTGTTCACCTGACTCTTCAGGTGACACTTAAGACAAATAGAAATGCTGCTGCTTTATCACTCAATACATCACTACAACTGTAGAAACACCCTCAGAAATGGAGATAAATTTGATGGGGAGTAGGGCCCTACTGTTCTGCATTTTGGCCCTGCCTACCTCTTTCAGTACCACTGTGGTGCCTGAAAGAAGGAAGAAATGGGTGAAGGGTAGGCCCAAATATGGCAAAGACTCTGCTCTTTGTTATATCATGTCATGTATCAGCATCTTCTATCTGCATAAAGCAACATGGGAAGCTACTAGATCAAGACAAACAGTTTGCACTCATGCCAAATAGAGCAAGTAACTGTTCATGCAGAAACAAACCAGTACTTCCATACATCAGCTCTATGTAGGGAAGACAAGTCACTGGAGGTTTTACTGTTGCTTTTCACCTCTGCAGAAAGAGGCCAGAGTAGAAGGTCTCATGAGAGCAGAAGGGATCATAAGCCTAGCTCAGCTCTACAGAAACATCATGGACTTGGCAGTTCTATATGAGGTATTCAAAAGCAGTGTGCGCTGGTGACAGAAGATGCCAGATCTATTGCTAGCATCATGGAGGACAGCTTGCTTTTAAAATCAATGACCTTTTCAGAAATTTCTGGACTTTCCCTTCTACTTTACTCCCTCACTCCCCAAAGAGACAGCAACAACCAACCTGGAGAGGAGGCCTGGTAGATTATTGTATTTCCTTGTCTCTCAGGAACAACAGTATGACACACGGCCAGCAGAGTGAGGAACTCCTGTATGTGCACAGCTGTGGGCTAGACAGGACATCAGAAGAGTCAGGTTTAGTATTACACACAAACTGAGAGGCAGCTGTTCACTAACCTGAGAAGACCTCTTAGATACCACAGACAAAAAAAAAATTGTTCTCCATTTATAGTAGTCACCTTGGTCCCAGAACATCAACACAACAGAGTTAAGGGCCAGCATTAATGAACTAAAGTGCTAATGATAAAGAACTCACTTAAGTTGCAGAGAGCTGGGAAGCCAGAATATTCCCCCACCTCCCCAAATATGAAAGCATTAGTTTTTTTTAGCAGCCCAAGCTTCATATAGGCAAAGATGCCACAAGATGCTGATGATAATCAAGCAACAGGAAATACTACTTAGGTAGCTTCCACAATAGCTGTCAATAGATTGACAGTAACCACACCAGAATTAAACCCATTGCAACTGCACACTTAGTGACGAATATCCAAAGCTGACAGCAGCTGATTAGCCAGTAGAAGGCAGCATCATGTGCTCTTCCCACAGGAATACATCATCCAGCCAAGCAGAAACTTGATCAGTGGTCCCTACACATTCAGCATCATGAGAAGACACAATATAAAACATTGTTCACAGACTGCATAGTCACCAGCCATCCTGAAGCACTTAAAGACACCAGGTCTACAACTCAGTGAAAATGCTATGGCATTTAAATCACAGGCCTCTAATCAGCAAATTCTGGCAACTGTAGCTATAGTGACTTGAAATGGAGTCCCCCATCCCATTCTTCCCTCTTTTCCACCCCTGCCTGTGGCACAGCATTTCCAGTCTCACAGCTGTCAGGAATGGCACTCAGCTGCCCAGCTCACAACCTGCCATACTAACTTCATCCACAGTTTACACAGATCTTTAAGAGGCTTGGCTGAAACAGCTGAAGTGAACACACATTCCCTTTCACCAACTCTACTATATCCGTAACATCCACAGCTGGTAGCATCAAAATCTTATGTCACAGCAGCTGTTTGCTCAGTGACCAAGTCAGACATGAACTTAGCAGTTCTACCTTTGCAGAAAGCCTTAGTTGACTTTGTGAACTCTTGCAGAATTTTTGCATATGAAAATATCTAGTTTCCAAACTTTCATTAGCATAGCATATTTTTATATATACTCTGTCTTAACAGACACTACAAAATCAAGAGCATTCCAAGAGCTGTTAGCACAAGGTCAGGCCAAGACCCCACTATTGCAATATAAAACCAAGATCAGATAGAGAAGAATCCTACAAGATTTAGTAAAACGGGATCCAGGTTTTTTTAAACAGTTAAAAGATGCTTCTACATCATTTACTATGCTAGCGTACACCACAATGTTCAAATGAAACTTTTTCAAGTAAGAACTACATTCCATCAAAAATCCTCTGATGTGAGAAACTTGTATTACATGTATTTTACTAAGAGTATATGCAGTACTGCTATCTGAAATGCAGCACACAGTTATTTTATAAAATCCTTTAATCACATAGAACTATTGACATTAAAGACTCCTCCATTTCCCACTTAGAGGGGCACTTAAAATACAACTTCTCACAGTTAGGCCAGCAGCATTCACAACTGGCTCTCAGACATGCTAATGCTTCTCTCCCCAAGCCAAGCTATGTGACAAAAATAAAAAGAAAGTTCTGCTCTCTCTCAGGTCCTGTTTCAGGGACAAGACCAAGAATAGGGAAAAACTGTTGTGTTTTTGTTTGTTTTTTCAATATGGTGCACATAGCCTACATACTTGTACAACACAAAGATGCACTGGCAATAGCAAGGTTTAATTAGTAGGAAGTAAATTACTAAGAAAGCCACAAAATATCAGCTGGCAAATGTTGTGTTAACATGCATAAACAAAAAGTAAGCATATCAGAAAAAAGTGTAATAAAAAGACTGCAGATCCAATACTTATATTCTTGTTTTACTTCGTGTATGTTGTCATGAATATTTTAATTAATAACTGTTTCACACAGGACCTTTATCTTTGTATACCGAAACTTCTGAATTGTATGGTCACAAGCCACTAAAATAACAACAGTTGTAGCTTTTGACATGCTGGAGTGCAGAGGCTGTGTTCAAGAAAATGAACAGATGGAATATAATTAGAGTAGTGTGTGAAATGTTAAGTCCACAGCAAATTACTGGTCAGGAGGTTACTGCTGCTCCATTATTTCCAGTGAAAGTAATGAAAGTTTTATCTCCATTTCAAAATGCATAGCCTGCCAGATTCTCATTTCAGCATCCATTGCTGCAGACCTTTGATGTCCTTCTTACACGTATATCACCCAGCCCCTTACACACTTTCATAGTATGCGTTCTATCAGCTGGAAACAACCTGTCTCCGGTAATGTCATAGATTTTAATCCTTCCTATGTATATATTTCTGCTTTCAAGCCAGCAATGTAATTTGTTGCTGTCTTGGTATTTTCACAGTTCACAATGTATTACATGGCAATCTTCCAATACTATAGCAACAGATCACCAGAGGCCCAGCTTATCATGTCAGCTCCTCCACTCAGCTGTCATTTGTTTCCTTTCTATATTGTTCCAACACTTGACACAATATTTGTTGCACTGGCATGAATCAGGATAGAGCATTCAAATTCCTACTTCAGAGCTGTGAACAGAAAACTTAATAGCTTCTGTGGTGATCCCTTGCACCGTGCCAAGTTTAAGCCCAGAATAAGACAGAAGTCCCACAGGTTAACAGATTCTGCTTTATTACTTATTTTCCTCTATTAAAGCAAGCCTCTGCCATTTTAGTACTCAAATTCTTACTGATGGTCTCTAAGACATTCCTTGCCTGCTCATTTGTTAAGCTCAGCTCGATTTCTTCCCACCCCATTTTTTCCTTCTCTATCTGTAGCAGGAACAAAGTTTGCATATTTTAGTATTTTGTTCATTTGTCTACAGGCAGCTCTCATTTTGAGTGCCTTCTCCCCCCATTTTTCTCCCTATGTGCCAACAGCTCTGGGTGAAAGCTATTGCTTCTCTTTCTCTATGTCTTTTCCAAAGATCCATGGAACACCTGGTATACAACCACCTACGCCAGCAACATACCTTGCTGGCTGAACTTACTTTGCACACTGCCCCTACAAGCTGAGAACTACAGACACATTGAGACATAGTCTCATATTTCTGGAAGCAGTCTCTGGATTGTTATTGACAAAGCATTATCTACACTGAAAGCAAAGTTTCCCTATCTAGAAGGCACAGCATTATCCGTTATCAAGCAGGTCATAGACCAGTGGTCAGGAAGCTGTATCATAAGTTTTCATCCCTTTGTGTTCTCCCTTATTCAGAGGGAACAAAACATTGAGGTGAAACCTGGTCTTTTGGGGAGCAAACCGTACTCTGCAGAGCTACGTATCTGCACATTTGTCACACATGTCCTTATCCGGGCCTCTTCACTCTGAAGACAGCAACTGCTTTATTCTAGCCAACTGTTCACAGCCTGATAAAATTACAAGGAAGTTGCATGTGAAGTTAAAGATACTTATTCGTCTCTCCTTTTACTTGCAGCAGTATCAGATCAGTGCCTCCACTCACAATATTTCCAGATGAGCAGGACTGACAGGTTTTTGAGCAAATGGCCTAGAAATGGCCAATGGGATATTAACGCACAGTCTAACAACTTGAGCTTACTACTTTGTGTAAGTGTGGCACATTCTGCCAAGGATAGCCAGTAAAATACTTAATCCATTTCATTACCAGGGAGAATTATGACTCACTGTCTTAAAGATGTGAGCTTCCTACTGTTTTGTTCATTAAAACACCTGGAGAACAGTGTGAGGATCCAGCCATGTTGGGCATCTCTAGAACAGTGAAGCTGGTAAGGCTGGAGGGGATCGGGATATTTCAGGCACAGACCCAAAGAACACTAACTCTATTGAAATTCAAATGCTGGTTAAATGCAAGTTTATCTTGTACAAAGCCACCAAAATATGACCTATAATTAAAGATACTGCCTTGTACTTGAACAAAAGAAAAGTACCGAAGTCCCATGCACAGTAAGGGCAAAAGCAGAAGAGTGAAAAATATTTCTCACCAAGCTATAACAACTGAATTGTCAAGCTGTAAAACAATACGTTTGGACAGTTTTCAGGCAACAGTTACTTTCTGAACTAAAGCCTCCCAGATGTTCTCACCACCTGAATGTATTTTCCCCCTACTGTATTTTAAATTCCAGTTTTTCATTCCAGAAGTGATATGCTTTTGTTGTTCTGGTTTCCTAAGGAATTAATAATCAGCTGACGATAGCAGTCATTTCAAAGCCTGATGGGATAAAAGCCTCAGTTCCCACACACTTCACGAAAATAAGCAGACATGTTGGAGAGATCTAAACGAACGCTTTCACTGAGGTAAAGGCTCAACACGAGCACAACAGTTATCTGTTCTGCCTGGCCAGCTGCTTAACTAGTCATCACACATACTCACTGAATCAATTCATGCATCTGCAGCTATACCATGTGCTTGCTGCTTCTTACCCAAATGGTAATTTGCAAGCCACAGAAGAGTTTATATGTGGATTGCAATTAGTCGAGGAAGTTTGGAGAGAGTCCAGGGAGATAGAGAAGCCTAGGATAAGGATCCAAGTTTATTAGTTCTTTCACTTCTTGACCTCCTTCCCTGCACTCCTATCAGGGTAAAAAATAACCCTACACCAAACAGGCTTGCATCTCCATGATGAGTTTATTCACAGCACATGTGCAACTCACAAACACCAAGGTAAAGACCATCTAGCATATTCTCCAAACTTTCTTTTAAGTTTTTGGAAGTAACTGATCTTTTCTTATTCTAGTAAGAGTTTATGCCATTTTCCCTATAGAAACAAGTGAGCACCATACTCTTGGCACTGCTGCACAGTTCATCCAACAGAAGCTGTTACAAAGAAAAAGCATAGGCAGACAAACCTAGGTACTTTCTTCCACATTAAAATCCCAGAGAAGCCAAGAGAAACCTCCACATGTTTTCAAGACAAGTTATTTTTCCTTGGAACACTTCCTGCAGGGCTATAATTCTTTGGCTGTTACTCAAGAGTGGACTTAGCCATCAGTCAGTCTTTACACACCAGTGGCCCAGAAGAGCTATGAAATTTAGAGGTGATGCAGGATGCTAAAAATCTTCCCAGCAGATGGATGACAGTCTCATGAGGGCAAGTACATAATTTTTTATTTTCAACCTGGAAAGAAAATTACTTGGCACTGAGACAGCTCTAAACTAATACTTGTGACTGGATTGAAAAAAAAAATCTTCAAGACCAGAGCAATGAGCACTTGAGTGTTTGTGAGAGATAGCACATTGACAACTTCATCTACAAAAGGGCAAAAGTTTAAGGAGAATTCATTGCCCAGCTGAGTACAGCACCATCAGACCCCACAAGGCAGCTTGTGCTAGAACACTTCGGTTTTATCACCTCAGTTCACTAAACGAGTAGAGATTGTCAGACATCTGTAAGTGGCATCTGCAGCTATCTACTACCTATGAAAACTAAGACACTAAGGAGTTTTAGGTAGAAGGAAGTAGTTTATGCGCCTTAACAGGTGACCTAATGCAAAAAGCTAATGGGCTAGAAACAGGCAACTCTTCCCTCTCCCACTGTCCTGTAATCCAGCCCTCATCTCACTGATGCAGTTTGACAAATGGATCTGAACTTCCTAAGCCAACTGTCACATGTAGTCCTTGCATTCTTGTGTCTTGTGCTAAATCACCACTTGTCAGTGGGTGGCATCCATCCCCCTAGTACAGTCAGGCTCCAAAAGATATCTTTGGCCTACACAAGGTACACCTTAAGTCTTATCAGCCAGAAGTTTCCCTACTGATTGAGGGCTGAGTTCACACTGTGTGCTCAGCCCAATAGTCATCTGTGCAATGACAACAGTATTTATGTGTTCAAGTTGCCAGCCAAAAGGAAACGATGCATAAGGGTTCAGCATGTAAAGAACAAAGACTTCTATCTGAGCTGTCTAGACCAAGTGACACCTAAGGAAGCTACCAAAACCCTTTATTTGCCTGCTACAACAGCAAATATTCCTTCTATCTCCCAAAGTGAAAGCTCTACCCAGAGAAGATCAAAGAATTAGAGATATCTCAAAGTTGAGGAGCCATCTCAAGGCTAGATGAGAAACTCCATCTCACAGCCAATTTGATATATGTCCCTTCTGCTGAGTCTATTAAAATGTACCAAAGCACTTTTCTGTATAGATGCCTAAAGCAAGCCAGTGAGGAAGAGCTCAAAACACACTTTATCTGTACCCTGCACCTAAACCAGTAGCCTTCCATTCAGAATGAGTACCTGGAGTCAGCAACTGCCATAAACCATACTGTAGCCATATATAAACAAACAGAACACAAAAGAACAGGAGGCAACCCAAATCTTGGCTGCAAGTGATGCGCAGTGGGAAGTCCTTCCAGTGCAGATGATTACAAAAGCCACACAGGAAGCCAGTACTTTGTCCTGGCAGGGCCACCATCCTGAAGGTTAGAGCACCGGAGCCATCTTCAGGCTCTGTCACCCTGAGGAATATGTAGTGACATACAAAGTAATTAAATATTCCTTCAGGCATTTATACCATGTTGCATTTCAACTTCTTAAGTACTGTAAAGCAAAACAGAAAGCAAAGCTTTGCTGCACACACACAGTATGTGTGTGTACAACATACCGTAACTATATTTTAGATGCTCATACTAAACCAGCCCAGTTACAAAAGTTATACTGTTTAAGGAGAGCAATCAGCTAATTGAGTTTGTCATTTGAGTATGCGCTTGCCAATGCCCAGATCCCCTACTGTAATACAGCTTCTGCAGAATAGAAGGCTCATTTTTTTTTGCAAGTGACTTAAATTGTCTGGTGTCCAGTCAGACACTTCATAGCTGCATGATTTCCGAATAAGCAGTGAACTGACACTCTCCTAAGGACTAGGCCCCTTTAGGACACAACCAGTTAGGCTAAGACTACTAATCACTGTCTCAGGCTAAGCTTAAGCTTGCAATCAAGTCCCATCTCTTATATCCTTTATGCAATTGGAATTCCCAACATCTGCAGTATTTAGAGCAGGTCTCACACCAGACCCATCTTGCAATGCTCTGGATTACTGTTAAAAATGGTATTTTAACAGTACCGATGTTTGAACACTCTAAGTAGTTTTTCTTTTAAAGAATTACAATTTCTACCATCATTTGCTACAAGACACTATCTTCCATATACACTAGCATATAGGAAGCTGTTTTACAGCTAGCTGGTACCCCTACCTATGTCACTGTTTCTTTAATTCAGTAGCAAGACAAGTGGGCAGAAAGGGGTGGGGGGAGCTATTTTGTTTCCCTTTTCTCCACTCCATGCTTGCATCTGTGGTTGCATGACACACCCATAGAGCAGACCTGATCACACAAGTAGATTTGTTTAGCATTCAATTCCAGAGAGGCCTAGAATAGGGTGTTTAAGACACATGATATTTGGAGAGTAGACTTACATGGTCATTTTCAATGTTTTGCAGCAGTCTTGGGTCATCAAATTCACACGATTCACTGGTGGAAGGAGGTAGCTGGCTGCAGAGCAAGACAAGCATATTCAAACATAACAGTGGCAACATTTCCAATCTTACTACTTCATCTGTTTTATTGGGAAGCAAAGGAAAAACAAAGTAAGATTCCACTGTCCTTGAAAGTATTGTGAAAAGATCATGTGAGTAGTGTACCAAGTGCTGAAAATGAGCAATAATTTCTTCAGAACACCAGCAAGAAACCCAAAATGATTATGCGTGAAAGTGTATTTGAGAAGATTCAAGTGTCAACACACTTCCTAGGACAGATGTAGTAGAAGCAGCTTTTAAGTGTACTTGAAATATCAACGTATTTCAAGGTGACTTGCTTTTAAGATAGGTCAAAGATCAAAGTTCAATATCCCTAAGCTCCCTCTCTAGTCAGTCAGTTCTGCCTCAAGTTGATCACTGGACAATTTTAAGCTTCAGTACTCCAAATTAGTACCTGGAAGAAACTCTTCCACAGAACTGACTAGAAAAGAAGCATACAAGGAGAGAAAAGATGGCAATAAAGGAAACAGCAGCATATTGGAATAATTGATGTGCTGCTATACAGAACACAAACATCTTCAAATATATTTACCTGAAGTCTTCTGATGAACGTTCTCTTTCCAGCTCAGGAAAGTGACTGAGTGGTAGAAAGAGGAAAAAAGAACATTTATTCCATTTTGCAAACCAAAAAAATAGGTAGAAGGCGAAGATCAATGAGTCACCACACATACAAACATATGCTGGAACCACGGGTTCAGCTGTTCATACATTTTAACCAAGTTTTCTGCCTTTTGAAGTATCTAATTTAGCTACCATGAAACTCAAAGGCTAACTTGCACAGAGATCTTAAAACTACCCACTTAAAACTAAGCAAAGACAAAGATTTAGTATTCAAGACTCAAAAGGCCAAGTGGTATGAAACACTGGCATGACTCAAAGGGATCCTTTTGACAGAAACATAACAAAACCAGTAAGTGGGTATCCCTCCCGTGCAAGGAATATTTAACTCTACAACTACAATTACAGCTACATGGTTGTAATGAAATCCTGGTTCATCTGAAGTCACAAAAACATGACTGACAATTGCTACCCTTGGGCTACATCTTCTTCCCTCTAGAAAGGCCAGAAGTTATTTAACACTTCTGGTTTAGTTTAAATCATGATCAGATAAGTTAGGAAGCAAGTAATTATTTCTCTTTACTTCATGCAAACCTGGGGAGTACTTTACATTTCATAATTTGTGTTGCAGGACATGCAACTGAAAGCTATTAACTGAGACCACAAAATATACTAAAATACAAGTTGAAGAACAGAATGTTTTAATCCTGTTCTGATATAAAAGTATGTACCATCAATAAGCACATATTAAGCTACAGAGTTTCTAAAAAAGTCATACCTACCCATATGTCACTCCAGCAATACTACATTTCTTAAAGTTCATGATATTGCATGTTAGAGTACCTGTTTTATCAGAAAACAGGTATTTTACCTGGAAGAAAAAAGAAGTCTAATTTTCAACTTGCAAAGTAACAAAACTCGAAGTGGAAAACAGGTTAAGTATCAGGAAAATTCTGGGAGACATATGGCTCAAATGTCATAGTATTGGCCAATGCAGGCTTATTACAGCTTGGTTTGTCTTACCAAAGCTACAGGAAAAGAACCAGGAAAGTTATATAATGGCATTATTTCTTCTTTATCTCTAAATGCAGCAAGGCCCAAATAGTAGATATCAATTGCCAAGGCTCCAGTGTGGTCAATACAGATGTACTTGCTTGTACTAGTTGAACATTCACCAAATCTTTCAACTGTCCTAATGTCAAACAGCAAGACTGGAAATTAAAACAAAGACTCTTAAGATCGTTGAAGAATCATTAGAACTTAACACACTGAAGAAATTGTGTTCCAAAGATCACCAGGAATTTGCTTGGGTTTTTTTCCCCATAAACAGTATTGTGCAAGGAATATCCTAGAGTAAGTCCAAGTAGTATTCTGCAGGCAAACTGCTTTTTCTGGTATCCAGTCATGAGCAGTCCTGAAGTGCAAGACACAGCCACAGTCAGCACTGCCCCTAATAATTCCTTAATGGAAACGAGTGACTTTCAGCTAGAACTTGGAGACAACACCAACACAGCAACACGACTTCTTGGAGCATTAGCAGATTCAAGACTCCCACCTTCAGCAGGCCACAACAGACCAAAGTTAACTGCAAGCTAAATTCCACACTGTTTTACCTCTGCACCAGGTAAGATTTTAAACCAGCAACAGGTAGGAAGGGATGGTGCTAAGAGAGGAGTTAGCCAATTTAAAGACCAGAATATTTTGCCTAGAGTTGCAAATATTGAGGAAAAGCTATTCGCAATTCAGTTACAAGACAGTGCACTACACTACTAGTTAAGTGATCCTTTAGCTGTGCACTACACTGCTGCTGAATACAGCATTGACCTCTAACTTGCACAGGCTCTGTTTCCAAACTGGGTACCCAAACAGCTGAGGAACTTCAAGTCATTAATAATTTTAGCATATAACAAAATTTTAAAATGCACCTGTGAACAATTCAATTAGTGAATCAAAAAAATTCAGTCTAGTTACATGGAATCACTAGTAAGCCATTTCTAAAAAAACATGTGGGCCAACAATATACATTATGCCACATAATATAGTTTACTTTGGACAAAAACACTACCATAATTTGGAGGTTGATAACTTCACATCAAAGCAATCTAAATATAAACAAAATTTTAACAATCCTAAGGAAAAGGCCAATCGGATTAAGCAGGAAGAATATTGACTACCACCCTGCTGAGCAGCACACAATAATTATGTATTTTACATAGAATCATAGAATAGTTTGGGTTGGAAGGGACCTCTAAAGGTCATCTAGTCCAACCCCCCTGCCGTGGGCAGGGACATATATAAACATTGTCTCCAACGCTAAGTTCACACAAATTATGAAGTTCACGTGGTTCAGTTACACACCTATGACTTTGGTGGTCAAGGAAAAAAGTTGGGATTTCTCAATAGCACTACAAAATTCCAATGGCAAAGTTGCGTTTTCCAGTAGCCTTATTTTGGGAAGCCCTTCCATTTTGAAAACTCTCATTTGCAGGATTTATAACAAATACCTTACAACAAGTACAAGTTAATATACAGTTATCTTTATCTGAAAGGAAAATGGAAATGCTTGAAGGAACACAATCTAAATTAGGAATAGAACTGCATTTTTTTGACTTGCATTTCCTGTGAGATAGTCAGAAACAAGAACTAAGAACACAAGCTGAGGCTATTGGCTGGCTCTTCAGCCAAGCTTAATCCCATACATTCTGTTCCAGTATAGACAGTCACAACCATAGAGCATCTCTTCAACACCCTTGAGGAGAAAAGTCAGTTTAGAGTGAATATAAGAAATAAAGATTCAATTCCCAGGCTTAAAACTGCCTATATGACCTCAAATTTAATCCTGTGATCTCATTATTTTACTCATAAGACTTGGACTAATGAAAGTAAAGATGTCCCATTAACCTGAGCGACAGAACAACAGAATAAAGCAGATTTGTACAGCATGCTCTCATACCTTCTATCTTCCCAGAACATATCACAAACACGACACTTAAGAAAGTGTTGTCTTACCTGCCCAAGTTCCTCATTAAGGTTTGAGGTTCTGGCCATTGCAGGCGTATCTGTTTCAGGATAATACATATCTATGTCCTGAAATGAGAGCAAAATTAGACCTATGCTATGCAAATTAAACACAGGAGTCTCCAGCCTTCCTTTTAGTCAGCTCCAACTTGGCTTGATTGACTTAACTCCATTGGTGGAGGTTCTGAAGGCTTGACACACTAACAGCATCCCAGGCTGAACAGGGGTGCCTCCTTTCCAAAGTACACCACCATACTACATGTACATGAGAAAAGCCAGATTCAATTACAGGGAATTATCATTTTCTTCACTGCAGCTCTAGTTTAAGAATTTAGTACAGTAGGAAGACATTCTAACAGGCATTAGCCATGCTAATAATAGGTCTTCAGTTACAACAATGTAATTTACTCTAGCCACATCTATGAATGAAGAGACAATTTAAGTGACTGAAATCAACTCCTGTTACTACATTTAATTGGGAGGGTAAACAAAACAGCTGCTACATGAACCAAAGCAATTTCTCAGATAACCTAGTCAAGCATCTCCAATACATTATAAGCAGCTCAGAGAACAGACATGTTAGACCTTATTTACTTGTATTTTAGAGGAACCACTACAACTTTACTGAAAGTCCAAGGATTAATGTATACCAAGACAAGGTATTCCTCTTAGTTTTGTTCAGCTTAAGAGACATCACTACAGTATTTTTGGTCCACAACTGAAGAGAAACACACTTTGAAGTCAAAGCTTGCCGGAACAGAGGGATCACTGTTTTGTTGCATAAGGTACCACCAACTCGTCTCCTTACAGAAATACTTGATTCATGCCAGAGCTGACCTTAAGGCCAGCCTCAGGATTTAACAAAAAAACCCCACCCATCCCCTCCACACACACCCTCCTAACAAGTCTAGTCTTTCCCTCTGCTGTGGCTGAGAGAGGCTAAGGTACTGAAGAGTTTTCAAAAGATATTAACTGAACATGAATCAACTGAGAGACCTCCTTCAACCAAAAGAGCTGAGCCTTCCTTCTCATCCTGAAAGCCTAAAATATACAAGAGTGATCATTTGCACAGGGGATCCTCCTACAACTAAATCTTTTAATTTCCTGTGGAACACAGACCCAATACAGAATAAATCCTCTGAACTTTTCCCTGCCTTTCCCAGAAGTTGCATCAGAAAATTCATTGGAAAATCTGGTGAAGATTTCAGGGTGGGGTTTGGTTTTTTTAATGTCACTCTCCAAAACTGACATTAATACATTTATTCTTGTTACTTACCCAATTTATAAAAAGAGCCTGAGTAAACTTGACAACTTCCAATGTCACCAGAAGACTGATTGGAATAAGGTTGTTGTACAAGATTATAAATGTCAGCAGATTGTATCCAAAGTTGACAGACAGCATTTCTGTGGACCAAAAGACATAAGACATCAACAGACAGAAGGCAGAAGTCCGAGTGGTACAGTATACAGGCAGTCATCTTTCTGCAGTTGGCCTGATCAGATTTAGCAGTGCTAAAATAATCAGCAAGTGTGCTGAGGCCTAGTATAAGGGCCTTAATATTGATTTCAACAGTACGTATATAAAACACCCACAGAACACATGCCTGGATACACAGCATATTATGCCAGGTGAAGAAGGGCAAGATTGGTGAGGCTATATATTAGAGAACAGAACATTTTCTGAACAATTTTTGCTAGACAGATGGTGAGAAATGATATTCCACACTATAACCCAAATTTAGAGATTTATCTGATGTGTCAACTGCCCCAATTAAGAGCCACCAATATCCCTAGTAACATAACTTCACCTTTCAGAAAGTGCCTACTTGTCTCAGCGGAGTTAGAAAGCAAAAAATAAAGACTAAAATTTGTTCTAAAATCTGCCAGCATTGGCCGAATTGAGAAGTTACTCACACTAAAAAAATCTAAGAGAACAAGTTGACTGTTAAACAGACACCTAGTAAATGAACTAAGGCATCCTGCTTAGGCAGAAGAGCTGTTAAGGGTGACAACATGTGCCAAGTTGCCCAAATTAATCCACCAGCACAACTGGTCCTAAAGGGAAGGTGAAGCATTTATAGATAGCAGGCAGGAATGGACAAGGCTCAGCAGACACAGGATGAAGGCTCCTGTTCATGGTGCCGCCCACAGCCTCTCTTTACATCCAAAGTCTCTGCATTTGCCTGTTCTTCACTTTCCTTGAAGCTTAGGGAGGCATTTCAGTCACAGAGCACCCAGCACATTGGGGTCACAGCCCACAACTAAGGGGTTTTCAGTGTTACAAGTAAGTCAGTAAGAAGGCAGGGGAGCAAACTGGGAGGAGATAGAAGCCAGAGAAAGTTGCTGAAGCCTAATGAAGATCAGAGCAAGACTTGAAATTTGGACCCAGGCACCTCCAAGTGTGAGCACACATGAATTCCATATCTTTGATCAGTTTACAGAAAGAGTAGAAGCACCCTTGATGTTGGAAAAGGTTTTTCCCAATAAAATCTTTATAGAAATTAGACATTTAACAAAAATTTAACATCTACCTGCCTAGCCTGAAAAAGTGTCTTTCCCATGTGTGGCAGTTACAGAAGTGATAGAAATTGTGTATTCAATTTACAAAAGAGCATCTATACAGACTACTATGTCATCCTAGTTTATTACAGGTTGCACCTGTTTTATATTAGCACAAGTTCAAGAGCTTGTTCCATTAATCTTTTCCAATATTACTTCCCATCATTGGAAGGCACAAATTTAAACTGCCTCATTAAAAAGCAAAGAGGAGGGAAGAAACTTTGAAAGTTGCCGATACTGCTACTAAAAGACATTACAACTACCAAAAGCCAGCGTCCAGTGAGACACTTCCATGCTCTTCCTATATGAATTTTTTTTCATTATGTCACAATTGCAGTTCCTAAACTGCAGACGACACCCTTTGCCATCTGTTTCACAATCACCAGCACAAAGACCACTTGCAGTTTGTGAGAATTGTTTTCAGGTCTGCATCTCAAGATGTTTGTAACAACACATTTTATAGCTAGCTAATGTAAACCCCTCAAGTCAGAAGTCTACTGGAGAGCAATTTATTTAATCCTTAAGTGTTTGCATACGGCCCATCTTTATCTGAACTAATAAATTCAAGGAGTATGAATGAAATCAAATAAAAACCCTTAATAAGCATACTAAGAGATCAGTTCTCATTACAAAATAATAGTCAGAAGCAAAAACAACTCAAACATTATCCAATAAATACAAAATCATAACATTTGGCATTTAACAGTTTTCTCTACAACGAGAGCAGATCAGCGTTTCTGACTGAAAAAAACAGCTAGAGAAATCCTTTGCTTCTGTACCCAAGCATAAAAGTTGAAGTCAGTATCAGACTGGTACCTGCTATCCTGCAGTCAGGTACAGTCAGACATGATACATAAGGCAGCAGTACATGACCTGCTCTAAAAACAAATTTGTGCATGGCACCTCCACAGACCTGAAAGAACTTGAACACCAAACATCCAAGAATAACTCTGGCCCCTCTTCTGTTTCTTCCCTGCTCCCTGGGTGGTAGCCCAGTGATATTTACCTAACCTTTAGAAGGTTTTATTAACAGAAGCCTCACCAGCAAGTTCACTTATGCCAGCCCATCCTCATAAAAAAAAATATTGAGCAATCAAAAGTCAGCAACAGGCTCTGTTTCTTGTGTTTCTTTCTTTGTTTCTTATTTTACGTATTCATTTAGCAAAGCTAAGAGCCTGGCTGGCCCTACAGCCCAATACATTCCTAGCACACTGCCTGCATACTCACTGTTGGAGCCAAGGTACCAGACGACTTCGCCGTGTGTTCTGTTCCATAATAAGGCACCTACAGAACTCACAAGGGCCATCACCAGGAGAATACAGAACAAAACCAGGATCTGCATGTTGGTCACTTTCTCCACATTTGATCTCTTCAGAGGTGCTTTGGTTGAATTCTGAACAGCAGCAGAAAAAAAAGTGTCTGGCAATGGCTGATACAAGAGGGAATTGCGGAGGCAAACTCAGTCTTTATTTTTAGAGCCCATTATACTGTCAGCCAATACTCCTGACAACTCCAAAACCGACAGGAGATTGGAGTAAGAGAACCATTCAGTTCTAAAGACCTAGTATGCTCATCTCCTGTCTGTCCATCCCACTGACAGTCAGCAGAGGTGAGCAACACATACATGTTGCTGGTCTCTCCAAGCGCTCCCTGCCACTAAGGCAATACAGAGACTGTAGTCAACCTAATTATCTCCAAGTGCTAAAATTGTAGGTGGTCATTACCATCTCCTCAGCTGTTAAACCTCAGTTTTCAACATTGTCCAGCTACCAGATAAATTAAGATAAAATACAGTTAGCTTTGCTTACATATTGAAGTGTTTTGAGACAGATACCTCAATAAGTGTTTACACATGTGCACATGCAACCTCAAGGACAACAGTATCCTTGTAGTCCTCAAAGCCTCCAGGTCTTAAACAGCTACAATGAGTCAAATCATTTCATGAACTCATGTGAGAGACACATAGAACACAGGAAAGATGACCAACTTCTATCAGAACACACTCTAGATCTCCTTAAAAACTTTACCTGCATGAGTTTTGTATCATGTCCTGTATACACAACAATACCCAAGACCCATTGAGTGTTTCTCAGTTGTGCACCTCTTAGCAAGATCTGGTCAGGACCAACAGGAACTGGGCTGCAAAACAAGAAGTATGTATATCTTTCAATTCTTGATAGCACTTTAAGAAAATAATTCTCCTTTCAGCCTTACCCCCCCCCCCAAAAAAAAACAAAAAACAAAAAACCCAAACAAACCACAAAAGGAGGAAAGTAATATAATGAACTTACATTGTCCACACAACTCAAGAGAGCACTGAAACCTGTGTAAGTCTAATCCCTGCTAAAGCACAGTAGGGCAAAGGTGATACAAGGGAGTTGTTCTAGTTACCCAAAACTTAAGCTTATGTGGCAGCCATAAGCCTACTCTGCACTTTACCTTGGCTAATATGTTCTCTCACATCAAAGACAGAGAAGCATCACACTTGCAAACACACCATCCACTGCAAGCACACTATAACCTCACATATGCTGTTTAACAAACATTTTAGGAAAACTGTATTACCCATGTGATTTTCAAGTGGGATGGAAGTGATCTTCTATTCTTGCACCTGTCACTATTCAGCTGAGCTGCCCAAGGAATACAGTTTTTGTGCAGGAAAACAGGTACAGCAAGATGAAACCTGTATGTTCCTACTGATCTTTCAAATTCTATGAATTCAAGTACTAAAACTAAGTTCTTTTCTTCCAAGAGTTGCAACAGACCAAAGTCACACTGATAAAGACTCCAGATTCTAAGATAATTTTTCTCTATAGATCTGAACTTCGTGCAGCCTTTGGCTCTAGTTGGAAGACAAGGGTTTCCCATTTCCTCTGCGTACCTCCTGTAACAAGGCAGCCCTAAAAACCTCAGCTATTCCCCCACTCTTCCTTCTCTTCAGGTGTTACTTTTGATAACAAACACACTATGATTCCAAAGAAACCAACTCTCCCATAACAAGCAGAAGACTCCATAGGAAGACAGAACTATGTTATCTTATACTCGCCTGTGCTCTGATTGACAACTGTTAATTATTACCCTCCTCTTCCCCAGCAAAAACATGCATATGCTCAGTGTTGCAGACAACGCACACAGGAAACATTTTTCCTAACCAAATGAATTTATGGCTTCGTTGTCAAGTGAATACCTTTGACCATCTAAGCGCAAGTTTCCAGTGAAGTCGTAAAGATGACGGTTGGGTCCTTCACATTCTATCCTTCCAGATACTTTCATCAATTCTTCTCTTGACTGGAGACTCGCAGTTTGAGACAATCCCTGCAGAGACCAATCCAAAGGAGATTCTTGTCAAAAATGTTATTAGAAGGCAACCTAGGAAAATGGTGCTTTCTTCCAACATCTAAGATAGCCAATGTAATTAAATGCATGGAGGTTTTCTGTTGAGTTTGTTGGGGGGAAGGGGGGGCACGGTTTGGAGGACGGGGTTGGGGGTGGGGGTTTTTTGTTTTTGTTTTTAATGGGTATTCAATAACTCTTTCCTGCAACGAAGATTCATTATGGACACACAGGATCCTGCTTATATAGGATTGGTTTGAATCCCTCTACACAAGAGTTATATTACCTACATGATCTCTCTGTAACTAAGAGGAAAGTCCCATCCACAAAGCATGAAGTTGCTCATGTGCAGAAGGAAGTAGGAGACAAGCAGTATAAACAGGCCTAGCTTTACTCTGCAAGTATAGCTCCACTGATGTGTTACTGCTGCTAAATATAGTCACTCTTAAGTGTAGTCTCTCTTGGGTCACTGCAGCCATTATGCTCTGATCCTACTCAAGGTTAATTATCAACCCATCATGCAACTGTAACCTAACATATTGCTACTCCATCTGAGAGTACACATACAACACTCCATTGCTTTTCATCTGTCTATGAAAACCTCCACTTGGTTAAGTGATCCATTTAGTGTTTCTTTTGCCGGATTTTGACTGCAGCACTGCAAGCCAGAACAAGGTCTTAAAAGGCCCAACAACTTTTTTTTTTTGTTTGTTTTAAGCATGTGTCCTGAAGCAAATAAAATCTGACAGAACTCAAGATCTGATCTATTGGGCTGACCCAGAACAGTAAATCACATTTCTACAAAAGACAGTAAACAAGCAGCAAGTGTACAGCTTTTTAAAAACAAATAATCTGTATTTCAAAATCCTAATCCAAATTCTTTTTTTTGTAATGAAAGAGGGCAAAGATTCTGAACTATTCCTAAACACCATAATCAACAGTATTTCTTCAACAAAACTAGAAATATCCAAATAAGTTCTACTATTTACCACAAAGAGGGAACAAATTAACTTAAACATAAAAGGTCCTTTTGAGCACTCTGCAGAGGCAGAAGCAACGGACACATTGGCACTTGTGACAGCAGAAACTGCAGCTCTCATCACAAGCTCAGCTGCCTTTTTTTTTTTTAAATACAGCACTTCAGTTCCACTTACTGGACCGTCAGCAAAACACAGCCAAGGTCTGTTTGATTTGCCTTTGTAGGTTTATAATACTTCCTCCAGATTAGTTCCTTACACTTGCCCATGAAGCATTATTGCTTGGGTTTATCTGTTGAAAAGAAGGCTACAGCCACCTGGAAGGAGATACGCTTTTTTTTTAAAAAGAGTACTTGTATCTTTGTCATGCAAGCTAGACTCTGCTTTGTAGCTAATATTAGATACCTAAATGGAAAAAAAAGGTGAAATTTAGTTTGTTTTACCTGTCGTATTTTAAGATTCGTCTCCCCATCGAGATTAGCTGTTTCAATATAGCACATAGCTTGTGGTTCACTGTAAGGAGCATAAGATTTTCAATATTAAAACTCAGTACTTTTTGTATACTACTTTTGCACTAAAATGGTCCACAATACACTTCTTCAATACACTGCAGAAGACAAAAATCCATATTGGTAGTATATGACTATGAAAGAGCCAGCTGAAAGTACACATTTTACAGAGATGTCTTTGGATATGAACACTCTCATACAACAAATTCTAGAGAAAGACAAGTCTAAATCAGAAGGTTAATAAGAATTTAACAAGTTATGATAAACTTAGATGCCCAAAGTGGACTATTTTACATTGCAATCCATAAAATTGCTTCAGATTGCAAGAGCTATAGATAAAATACTAAGTATTGAACAGTGTAAAAAAGGGGATGTGCTTGGATGAAGAGGGTAGTGCTCTCTGCTATTGAGTTCCATCTATGAACCACGCACACAAAAGGTCATGGCCACAAGAACACCTTAAAGTTGAGGGACTTGTGGAGGTACATCTGAAGTCACTGCTAGTCAGTTTGGGTTTTTCTGAGATTCAGAAAAAAGGTACAATAAGATTGAAACTGAGGGCTGTGATCTGCATCTTCCAGAGATGCTTCTGCCCTTACCACTGGTGGGGGGGGACAGAATCTTCCTCACAGAACTGTGAATCTTCCATTAGTCAAGGTCTTATCTACATCTAACATGGAGGAGCTCTGCATAGGTAGCACCTGTGATAAGGAAGGGTACTTCTGTCATGGATCTCTTCCTGACATGCCCCTTAAGATTTAAAACCTCTGTATGGCACCACCAAAACTGTTTTTCCTAACTGCCTTCTCAGGCTGCTAAGGAATATCAGTTTTTCATCTGGACCCAAACATGTGCTTCTTCAGCATATCACTTTTCATACTCTTGAGATGTTGCTATTTCTTTTCCAAAGTAACCAATTGCTTTAACAGCAAGTGTACTTAAATCAGCGGAAAAGTCAGTAATAAAGGCTCTCTTAGGACAAAAATTGTTAAGAAACAGACAGGTACATTTTAACATAGTAAGAAGCTAGATTTTTGTCTCCAGAGAATTTTTCTTAAAAAAAAAAGTTCAGAGTCTGTTCTTTGTCTCCTCCTATACAGGCAACCTGCATCTGAACCCAAGAAAGCCCCAGATTAAGTCCAGTTTGATTCCAATTTTACTTCTGTCACAAACACCTTATCGACTACAACTGAAGTGGTTAACTCAGGAGGGAGACCTCTTGCAAGACAATTCCTCATTTCCACAGAAACGTGGAAGTGTTTCCATACAAAGTTGTGTTTGGATTCAAATCTTTTTTTCCTTCATGTAAGTTTATACTCTATATAAAATTCATTTGATCTCACCTTTATTCTACGTAGGAAAAAAGACTCAAGATAAAAACAACAGTTTATTCCACCTCTGACAGTCAGCTCAGACACAGAAAATTAACACATACAAGCACAAGACCCCACCCTTTCAGAGCATGCAAAGCCTTCTGGTGAACTGAGGACACTTAGTATTGTCATTTAAAAGAATCATGGGAATAATACCAATTATAAAGCAGAACTGCCATAGAAATTGCTATTTACTTCAAGCAAAGCTTCTTCCAAATCAACATACTTTGGGTTAAATTCTCCAGTTATGTGATTATCAATGACAGCAGGTTAGTAGAATAATACAGAACAAAAAGCTGACCCATGCAAGTTAAGAAATAAATCAGAAGGTTTTGTAGTATAATACATTAGAGGAAAAGTTCTCAAGTAGAACAAATACTCCTCAATACTGAAACAGCAAGTTATTTATGTCAAAGTGTAGCCTAACTAACAGTTAGTTGTCAACTAACAGTTAGTTGACAACTGCTTATTTAAGATTTGGGGTTTGTTTTTAAAAATACAATATTGTATACCATGGAATCAAGACACCTCTATCCTTGATCATGTGACAGTTCAAAGACTGAGCTTCCCCATACAGCTTTCAAAAAAAAGTGAAGCCTCCCAGGAACGGCACAAAGATGGAACAGAAAATGCAGTAGCTTAGAAAACGAGTTCCCTTAGAAGTTGGGTCATTTAAGAGAACTGTAACCTGGAGACCAGAGCAACCTGCAGTCACTGCTGAAAAGCATGCAGACAGAAGGAAATTATGGAGAAGAGCAAGGTGTCATAAGGTTTGACTAGTAGAAAGAAGCATGTTCAATAACAGGAACTGCATTATTGCCTCTTGTTTAAATCTCACTTAAGTGGACAGTGGTCTTGATTTGGCCTCAAGTTATTCAACTCAATATATGATCTAGATTAGCAGCCAAGTACCACTCAAATGCTTTTAGGAACTAGCAACCAAGCTTTGTTTCCCAGTACATCAGTATAAACAAGTTGTCCCATAGTTCACAAAAAAGTGAGCAGTACTCAACATTTACTGTTGCTACCACGCTAGGGATAGGCTATATGTGCACTGTATCAATGACAAGGAGTAAACAAATGAAGCCTAAAAGCTATTTTGCTGGCTAGTTATTAGATGCCAGCTGCACTAGCCTTTTAGAATTACTGTTTGAAAGAGAAATCTTTCCTGAGGGGCAGGAAAATATGCTGGAAACTCAGTGGAATTAATTGGAAGAAAACTTAAGCTTCCTTAATTAAATGGAGGTATCCTCAGAAGGCCACAGAGCAACTGACCACATGAAGCTTGTGTAACAGACCTTCAGTCTTCCAAACAAACTCAATGATACACTTTACGAATTACAGGTACATAATACTATGAAATCTTAAAGAAGCCTTCTTTCTTAAGAACTTATCTACAATGACACATGAATCATTGCCTAGTAAAGCACTGTTTTGACAGTGGAGAAGAATTAGTGCCATCTGATGTCTGTTTTTATTAATAGCAAATACAGAGTTTAGAGTCCTCTGCACCTCAGTTCATCAGACACATCATTTCCACACCCATTCAGGATACCTGGAAGATATAATGATCATGTCTGCTGGAAGATGTTGCCCATTGGTGACCTTCACAATATCTCCTACTGCTACCTGTTGAGTCAGGGGCAGGAGTACAGTAGCATGGAAAATAAAAACAAACAGTTCGCTTGTCTGGAATGTTAGTTTGTTATTTTCTTTCACCCAGTCAAAAGAACAGCATCATGCACAAAACAGCTAAAGACAGTGTTTCTGAAAGTCAGAATACTTTTCACTGCAAGTTTGGAAGTATGAAAGCCTTCCCTTTTCTGAATGCAAAGTAAACAATTCTCTATAGAAAAAAATAGATATACTCAATTGGAAAGTGTGAATTTCTGCGGCTTATACTTAGTGAAAATTACTTTCTTCTATAATCCTGCCATTATCCAAATTTGAGAGTTTTTTCCTTTAGTCTTATTTAACCTACAGAAAGATTTTTTTCCTAGTAAAAGAGTTATTTTTAAACTTTACTTTCCTCAAGTATCAAGAGTTTCTTCTATTCCTTCTCCATATTACTTACCTACTCCAGTCATCACTATCATTTTCCCTTAGCCCTCTTTAGATGTGCTACTTGTACTAGTCACTAGCAAGGAGCATCATCTGTACAGGTAAATAGTATCAACCAGTTCTTCCCTGACCTATAGTCACTTGAGATGTGCCAAGTCCTAATTTCTGCAATACTGAAGACTTAACAGTTTCCGGCACCTTTAATGGGAGTCACATGCATGGGACTTTCATTCTAAGAAGGACCAAGTAACACTCTCAAAACAGTAAGCCAGGCTTGCCTGATAAGTATCAGACTGCTTGGCACCCATGCACTCCTGAGAGTCTGAAATGGGCTTAAAATATTTTGAACACATTAATTTATAAAAATTGAAACAGATGGCATGTTTGAACAGGCAGATTCATTAGTCTTACTCTGATCCCACTGAAAACAAATTCCCTACCAATTTCAGCACAAAAAAGAAAAGAAGTCTGCCTTAAAGTAAACAAGGTGGATAGTACAGAACTGTTATTCCCTAACAGTAAATGCAAGCCTGGACAATATGCAGATGCAGACACAGGCCAATTCAAGAAGTGCTTAAGGGTATAAGAAAACTAGATTCCAGGCTCAACTTTAAATATCTTTCAATTCAGTGTCCTCACTACAAATAGGACATGGAACAGCATAACAGGCATCAGCATTAGCCATCAGAATCCCTGGCAAGCTTTAGTTTCTACTATAGCCTAACACTTCAGCAGGATTGCTTGCTTTTAGGTCTCTTGAGGTGAGTCTCATTTCCCAGAGGTTTTAAAACTGTGTACTTTTTCCTCATTTATTAGTTAACAGGGCTAATTTTGTTCTTAAAAAGACATTAAGAGCCACAATTAGATCAATACATCCTGAGGGATTTCAGCAAGTTCTAGAAATAAAGCTCACCAGGTCCTGGCACAGGGCTTCACAGAACATGGGTCCTGAGTGCCTGAGGCAGCAGCAGGGCTTGTGTTCCTTATTTGAGCAAACAGCTTACTAATTAGCCTCAAAACCTAAGAACTTTTTAGCACAGGTAGCAAAAAGAGTCTCTGTTCAACTTTCAGGGGAGGTACAGCGTTGCAGTGAAAGTTACTCTTCTAGATGTGGACTGAAAACAAAATACTGTTTATACTCTGGAGCATATTAACTGTCCAAGCAAGAACACTTACAACAGTTCATTAGCATTCGACAGAAACATAGTACTAGGATTTCAAGATGGGTACTCAGGTGCCTTGCTCAGGGCAATTTTCACTATTATAACAGAAAGGATCCTTCCCACCCCAAGTCACAGGGAATTCTCACAGTGTGCATTAACTCTAGGCCTCCAAATTTATTCTAACAAAAGTAATTCTTGAACACCTTCCATTCCCTCCCATCCCCAGTTTTATTTACCTCTTTCCACATAATGTTCTGCCACATCCCATTTCTTAGAACTAGAAAGAAAGTTTAAAGTTAGATTAGAATAAATACCCAAGATTTGGACAAATTTCAAAACAACTTTATCAGCAGTAGTGAACATTGACCAGAATGGGAACTAACACACATCAGAAAAGTACTTTTCAGAAGCTGGGACCACACTTTTGTCCACAGCTGTAGGCATGTGCATCCAAGAAGGAGGAAGAATCTGCCCTTAGTATTTATATCATTTTTATCACCTGCTAGACAACAGTTGGTGGCCTGATTTCTTCTTGGCATCACTTCATACTAACACGCAGATGGGCAATGCTGTTGCTCATTTGGGAAGTGACCTTCCTTAAAACAAAGGGCATTATTGCCCACTGTCAATCAGTACCAGGAAGCATCTTTACTCTATATATGACTAACCACAGAATTTTCGCTTTTCACCGTTTTCCTTGCATTTTATTCGTTATGTTTTGACTCTGACATATCCAACCTCACTACCATATAAATTGCCCTTATAGGGCTGAGGCTTAATCATCAAGCAGGCTCAAAGTCCTACTGAAAAGCAGAGATCAGCTTTGGCAGAAGAAGAATCCTAAATGCTGAAGCTCACATTGAAACAAAAAAGGAAACAAGGTACTGAAACAGGCCTTGGCTTCTCCAGTGCCGAAGTCCTATACTGCTGTCTTGACCCACTCATTGGTCATCTACTCTGCTTTTCCACCCAAATAGTTCCTCTAGATGCTTCTACGCATACTTAATACTACCCTAGCGTAAACAACAAGGTCAAAAATTTATGCCCAATCATTGCTGAGCAACAAAATCCAGTCCAGGTCTGAGCACAAACTCAAACCCTTCACTGAAAGCAGCTGCTGCCAGTTTTTAAAAGATGTTCAAAGACTGTGGTGTGCAACAGATGAAAGTTGAAGAGGACAGCGCCCTACTTTGAATAAGTTTTCTCCTCAGTTCTATGCAATTCACATACGTAGCTCATTTGAAAATCATACCAAATTCCCAGAAGATACAATTCCACTGAATACAGCCTCAGCCATCCTACTCAGGTTAGGGCACTCCCCAAACAGGAATGCAAGATTTGTCAGACCAGATCAAGCACAAGAAAACCACCTCTTGATTCCTGTCCCCAGGCCACACACTTTGAAGCACTGAATCCTGAGATTTAATATTACAGAGGACGGATCACAGTGAAGTAAACTATTTAACGAAAAATGGGTGGGCAGCAACAGAAGTACTGTTAGTGATATGTCTAAACTGCTGAGCTTCCACCCAAACAAGTATATGCAATTTAGGGGAAGAACAGTTTTGTTGCACCCCTTCCTTCCCTCTAAGCTGTGCTTGAATTGAGCTCTGCTTAGTTCAGAACACAGGAGAAGGCCTGAGCCCAGAATCTCAAGTGAAAAAGCCACATACCTGCAGCCTTGACTCAAAATCCAAACTCTCAGAGAAGAATTGCAACGCTTAACATCTCCTGTACCTTGCTTTAAACAGCTCCCTGTTCCACCAGAAAATTCTGGAGACATTTCAGCAAACAGTTCACATCATTGCAACAAAGATATTTCGTAGCTTCAAGTGCCATGAACTTGGTCTTGTAGACGATTTACTTAAGAAAACAATTTAGCTTTCATGCCTACTGAAATAAATTTAACTAAAATATTAGTCAAGCAAATTACTGAAGCAGCTATTCTTTAAGACTCATAACCCCACAATCTAAAGAGAAAGTTTCCATAGACATAAAACAGTTCAGAAATTTTGGGATTGCAATTTTGCACCTTCTGCTCTGCTTAACCCAGTTTTATAGAAGTACAGAATGTTTATAGGAGAGTAAAATTGATGAATTATTCATTGCCAAAGATATTTGGTTAAAGTAACAAAGAACAAGTATCTAAAAAGACTTCTTCTACTCAAAACCAGCATTTTGATATAAGCCTTCTAAGACTTCAATACACTGTTTTTTAGTCTTAATGTTCTAGATCTAGGACTTAATGCTGTCACTCCACCTAGGTGTGTAAGGCCATTTGAAGTGCTGCTCCTGAAGGGCAAGCATTTCCCATCAGTCTTGTGCAACAGTTTGCTGGCCCTGTGCTCGTCTACTCTTCAAGGGCATCCCATACAGTATTAAATGCTCATGGCTTATTCTATTTGACAATGAGAAGATCATAAATCAGAAGTTATTACTGAGCTCTCTACATCTATGTAATATGCTGCTCAGGGGCTTCACTTGGAATTACATTTAGTCTGGTCCCTAGATTCAGGGTCATCTCCACATACACCACATGAAGCCATCCAAGACATGAAACACTGGCTCAGAGCCTAACACACTCCAGCTCCTAATGGAGATGTACAGTGCTCACCTGAAGCAGAACTTTCAATTTCTATTTCCCCCAACTCCAAAGGGAATTTAATTCCTACATACCAAAGCCACTCTGCAAAACAAACCAATCTTTTCAATGGGAAATTTAATATAGGAAACGTGCTTTGAAGATACACTACTGCTCAAAAAACTAAACACGAAGATAAAAGCAAAGCCTACATGAATGTTACTGAAGCAAGCATCTGGCCATTGCAGTCAGTGTAGTTCAGAACATAGCTAAGCAGCTAGTAGATGTCTAGTTTTGTGTGAATTGAACTACTCTCTGTAGTGATTGCATTGACTAGACCTCACTCAGCTATAAGAACCACCTAAAGGCACATACAGAACCTAAATTTAATTCATCTTAATCCCACCTTGAACGTAAATTAGCTTTTCATTCTCATAATACAAGTCTCAAGAATGAGCCTCTTTAGCCTTCCTCTTAAGAAATATGAGGATAGTTTTAAGTATCATTTTGAAAATTGTATTTAGAGTATTCAAACGTAAGAAATAAAACTTGAACTAAAATAATTTTTTCAAGTGCTAAGTTCCACTTAGCTCTATAAGAATACCTTGTGTTCTTTAAGGTTGTGTCTCCACAATTACTCTGATAAACTTCCCTTGAAGTCTTTGTTAGCACATGTTCTCTAACTACAAATGAATTAGAACTGCCTGTGTGACCTTTGAAAGAGCAGTCTTTCATATTACATATAACAAGGCCTGTTGTGCTACAGCCAGTTAATTGCTGACTTCTCATGACTAATAATTCAGCGTTCTTGCACTTGAAACATCTTCCCTAACTCTTGTAGAGAAATTACCCTGAAGAACTGGTAAAGCAATGCTTTTTGGTGTTCATTAATATACAGTCTCAATGATCACCTTACCTTCTCAAGCACGAAGGAAAAACAACTCACTGAAAACAGTCCTGCAAACATTTTGCCTGTTAACTGATGCATGGAGCTAGCAGGTTGTTCAGTTCCTCATGTTCCTTTAAGCGTTTCTCTAGCTTCTTGACACTTAAGCTAAATGTGTTTGGGAGGAAGGGGCTCTACTCAAAGGTCAAGTCCCTGTGTTTTCTGTTTCATCTGCAGATCTCCACGGAGGAGCAGCGAAGGAGCTGTCCAACACAGGAACACAGAGATCCTGTGACTGCAGCACAGACTGACCATAGGGCAGCCATCAAGAAACTCCTCATGTTTTCTGCACAGGTTTTCAGTTAAGGGAGATGAAAACAAATATGACGTCTTCAGGTATTCAGTGTGTCAGTACATTAGGGATATATGCAGGCATTCAGAGGATATTAGTGTTAAATTCTCTTTCAGTGACATTTCAAGAAAGCAAATCCATAAAATCCCCTGAGCTCTTCCTGTATTTTAAGGGCAGCAGGCAACATTTGCAAAAATTACTTAAAAATTCTTTGACACCAATTTTTAGTGTTTCAAGGGTTTGTTGGGGTTTTTTGTTTAGTTGGTTAGTTTTTTTGGGGGGAAGGAGTGTTTGTTTTGTGCATTTTTTGTTGTGGGTGTTTTGTTGTTTGGGTTTTTTTAAGAATAATCAGGATAGAGTTTGGCAGGGGAGAAAATTGCTTGGTTTTCTTGGAGGAGCGGAGAACTGTATAACTTTGGACAACCTTGAAATTACACAAGCTTATAAATTCTAATAGTCCCCACCATCACCATCTCACTCCCAAGCGTCACACTATCAGCATCAGTCTGAAACATTTAAAGTAAAATCCTAACATACCAGTAACTACCTAGTCCAAAAAGACACACTTTCCTCACCATCATGACTGTTTAAGCAATAGAATTGTCCAAAAGTAAGTGTTCTGGTATTCACTATTTGCACTTAAATATTTAACTTAGAGACTGTTTAGTCTTACCTATTGTTTTCTTTTTATTCACTGCACTGTCTGCCTTATGCCTTTTCTGCAAGGAAACAAAACATTTCATTACACCTCATTACGCTTCATTAGATTCCAAAACCATTAGAGCTAGAAACATGACAAACGGCAAGATGATACATTAGGTCATTTTTCCCTTTATGGTTTGTTTTCTTGGGGGGTTTTTTGGTTTTTTTGGAGGGGGGGGTTGGGGGTTTTTTTTGTTTAAAACAGCCACACAGATCATCTAGATCCAAATGGTTTGTAAAAGAATATAATTTAACTTTAAAGTGAGAGTCCCCATGCTGGAAGTCAGGCTCAAGCCTGGATCAACAGCAAAAAACTAAGTCTCCAAAACTGGTTTTTGGAAGAAAAACAAGAGGAACAGTATATTTAGATGACAGCTGCACTATACATTCTATGTGCTGTTTGTTAGACTGATTTCTAAATTATTTTATTCATCAGAACTTTGCAAAGCAGGAAGACCTCTATTATAAACAGTATCCAAGGAAGTTAGCGTAGATTTTCCCCAAAACAGTTTTCTCTATGCTAAAGTTGCTTTCCCCCTTGCCCATTTTCAAGACCAACTAGAAATGCCACATCTCTCTCAGGACTCTACAGTGTCTTTCTAGCCAGGCCCTTCTAATAAAAGCATGAACAAACAAGTTTGAAGATGTAGAAACAAGTGTCCTGACTTCTGTTGTTTCCTTGTTCACCATTATAATGAAAATGCTTGATTTATCTCAGCATGCTACAGAAATTCTAGACAAGTTCAGAGCTTTGGCAGTCAAAAGGATATTTTGCTGCTGTTACACAATGACTCAATAGACTTGAGAGATGCATAGCTTTGCGGCATTTTGTGGCTTTTTTGAAACACTGTCTTTAGCACAGCCTTCCCCATAATCATACTCACATAGTCTTCTATGATTTCTTTGATGCCAGCAACTGTTAAAATAAATAGCAATGGCACCAAGGTGGTATATCTTCCTGTTGGAGAGACATCTGGAATTTGCTGTGAACAGAGGGAGAAGAGATACCTGTTTTATATTTGTATTTAAAATTAGTTTCTAGCAAATTTAGAACTTTATGCAAAGCTCTCAGAAGAGAGGACGCAGAGCTTTCTAATTTGTGCCTGACTGACATCCAATTTCAGTGGGCAAACTAGCCTAAGCTCTCAGCAGATTTGAAAAAACTACCACCATAAAGTTAAAGTTGTTGTTCATGCCTTTTATTCTATTTCTCCTCTCTTTACAACAGAAGCATTCAACTGATATAATTCAATTGGGAGCAGTGATAATCTGGACTATTTAAACAGTCAGCAGTTTCACCAAGAATCCACAAATGCTTTTCTCAGTATGATCAATAGCTCCATGTTTTATGACACTACTTCTTGTTTTTACTTATTAAGAATAAAAGTAGCTTGATTTTATAAACTACATTGGAAAAAAGTCTCTAAGTTGCCTTCTGATTTCAATTATAAAGTACATACCTCATTAATATTCCTATTAAATATGTCTAAGAATTTCTTTGCAGTTAAGCATAACAACTGAAACAACTTTTACTGCATTACAATTTCATTTTATAATCAAGGCAAACCAGTAAAACAATACCTGCAGTAAGGCAATGAAGAGGAAGAATGCATTTGCAGCTTTTCTTATCTGCTCATACAGGAATCGAGGTAGAAATGTCACCACACTGTACTTGGCTGTGCTGCAGGTTAGAAGATTTTTATTTTAGTACTTCACTGGAAAATCATAGAGGGCTTATGACCACAAAGTTTCAAGTAGGCTTCTAAAAGCCAGTGTTAGAAAGATCACACAGTAAAAGACAAATATAAAACATGGAGGAAGTAAGTTGCCTGTGTTATGAGGTAGAGCTGTACAGAACAAGAGAGGTATCACACGGACCCAGAAGGCTGACAGTCCCACTTTAATCACCTTTATTATTGGATAAACCACCAGATAATTTACTATACGTCCAGACTTCAGCACCATGAACAGGCAACCTTTTACCTCAGTTCCAAGCACTCACTCAAGTGCTTAAATCCATGTTTTGATAAGGGGTAAGTGCTCAGGGGAGGCAGAGTTGAACGTAAGAGGAGTTAGAAATTCTGCAGTGCTATTTTTAAAAAAGCCTCATTTCCCAGTTCAGAACCACTCTATATTCAGTTATGAATAAATCTTCCAGAACAATACTACACACTTTCAGATTAATCTTTCCCAGCTATTTTCCCTGAGTAGTTCTATTACTATTTGTTCTACCTTAAAACAAAAGTATACTGCACTAAATAGTCTCAATCTGTGTAATTTCTTGTCTTCCTCACACCAAACCCATGATGTGCATGAGTACAAGTTCAGGAAAAGAGCGTCCAAGATAACAAAAAGATTTAACCATTCAATTTTTTTAACGAGTTCTATAAGCCACCCCCATGTTGTCAAGTTACCAAAAACAACCTAAAACAAATTAAGACTCTTAGGTGCAAGTCCTTACTCTCTGAACACGTTTGTTACAACCCTGTCATCTACATGCCTTCTTGAGATAGATTCTGCAGCATGATGAGTTTCCTTGCACTGTCTGAGAGACTGAGTATATCTAGTAGCATGTAGTGTTCCATTATACAAGGAAAAAAATATTTTTAGAGTAAGAGCAGCAACTCTGCCTTACTTTCCCCCACTGAATTAGCACAGCACCTTCCCCTCTTAACTACTGGGCATCAGCCTGAGTTGGAGCTTTAAGAGCCAAGTGCTTGCAGCTGTAGTTCAGTTGTCTTCCCCCAGACACCAAATGTAAGCTCTGCAAGAGCCAGACAACCTGTGACAGGAGGTTATGTTTGTGTTTTGGGGTATCATTTTGTTTGTTTGGGGGGTTTTGGGAAGTCAGCCTGAGTTGGAGCTTTAAGAGCCAAGTGCTTGCAGCTGTAGTTCAGTTGTCTTCCCCCAGACACCAAATGTAAGCTCTGCAAGAGCCAGACAACCTGTGACAGGAGGTTATGTTTGTGTTTTGGGGTATCATTTTGTTTGTTTGGGGGGTTTTGGGAAGTGTTTTGGGGTTTTGTGTTTGTTTTTTTGTTGTTGTTTAAGAAGGCTTGTATTTCCAAGGAACTGAGAACCCCAAGATACTCCTTTCAAGAAAGGAGAAAATTGTTTCCTGAAGCACTAATAACACAACTCCTCAAACACAGGCAAGATGCTGTTTTATTGATGTTTGCTAGAAGTGTCACAAGCACATTTCCATTAAGGCTGGTCCTCTACGTGAAATGCTTTTCTTGTTCTCTCCCACCAATAAGCCTTCCAGATCAGTTGAAGTCCATGGCATTACTATTCACAAATCATGAAGGACTAGTATAATCAAATGCTTTACCTACATGATCTGCCTTTCACAATTGACTGCTATGGAGAAAACTCTTACTACAACCTTGACCTACAGGCAATTAAGTTCAGTGGGTTCTCTTATATTTGTATGTACAAGGTTAGAGAACAGCATTCTCCAAGACCATTTATTCGCTTTAACCATTTTCTTCTCCCTCTTTTCTTCCCCATCCCCATGTAATGATACTGTTTGATTCTGGAAGATGCAGCAGTGTAACAAGGGACAACATGGCACAATTTGTTATATGAAGCTCCATTTTGGACACTAGAGTAGAATCAGTGGGGCAAGTTAAACAAAATGATCAATTAAAAAACAATTAAGATCCCATCTTATTAGACTGTGGTAGTTATATTTCAGTTTCACCTAGTTTCCTATTCAAGCAATTACAAACCCCTACTAGGTTTGATGCAAATCAGTTATTACTTTAAATGGATCTCTAAAAAAGGAAACACGACAGCATTTCTAGTCCTACAGCCTATAGACTTCCTATTGCTACTACTGCCCAGCAGAATCATGTATTAAAATACCCAATGTGATATTTTACAGAAGTTGCAGGTTGTCATACTTCAACATAAATTATACCAACTAAGCCAACTGAGTGAAAATATGCATCCAGGTTTACAGCATGTAGTGTAGTACACTTATTGTATAAATTAAGAGAAATTATTTCCTTGAAATGCTATTAGTTTCTTCCAACTATAAGGTTTTTTTTGTTTTAAGCCATATTTGCTTGGTCCCACATATAATAATCTTCCTATAATAGAGAACATAATTAAACATACATGTCTCAGAAGTACCTTGTGACTTTAAAAATATGGGTTAATCAAGTTAATAGTTTAGACCTACCCTACAAGTGAATTCCCCAAGCAATATTAATTATAAAAATCTGCCAACTCTTGATTTCTATAGTATTCCCCTGGATATCACATTGCTAGGACTATATTAGAGCAAGAATGTCTGATGGCAATCAAGCTGAAACATCCATTAAACATTCTACCATTTACCAACTTTACAGCTAACTGGTGCAAACAATATTCTTACTCTAATGATCCTGTTAATGCCAACACAACAATATGTATGAAGCTCATTTAGAACAGCCTTAAGTCACTCCATCCATTGCTTAAGTAACATGACAGATGCCTACATGTGCATGGTAGAAAATAGGTACAGTTCTAATTAGAAAGGGGCACATTCAGCTGTTACCATGCAGACCCAGAACAGTAATCATGTGTAAGTATAAAAAGAAGGTGCATATTGTTATTCAAAAAGAAAGTTTCTTACAAAAAGCTAATACCCTAAGCTGGGCAGGAGTATTTGATTAATTTGGCTCTGAAGAACAGCTCTCTAAAGGACAAACACAATACTTATAAATAAAAAAAACAACAAAAAACTTTGTGCTCCCTCCCAACAGATAGATGCATTCTAGATGACTTCAGGACAATCAAAGCTCAGAAAGAAGTTAAAATTTACAGGTGAACAAGTAGAAAATTCAGGCAGCTCATTCATAGCACAATTTTGGTCACTAAAGATAAATATCTGCGAAGGTTAGCCCTCTGACCAGCCCAAATCAGAGCCATCCTATCTTCAAAGTGCCTGGTATTCAACTCCAAGAACACCAGGTCTGCAGCTCATAGAACAGGTTGTGGCAGGGGAGCACACACAGGAAACCAAACAAGCTGACTTTTCCTAACACAACAGCTGTTAACTATACAAACCTCACTTAACTACACAAGTTTGATGTTTAAACAGGTGTGTAAACATTAGAAGATCTGTCTCCTTTATATCTGCAACTTAATTCATGTAAGTCATGTTTCAAGTTACACCACTGTGCAAGTCAGGAGGAACACTACCAAACCCTGTTAAATAAGTGAGTTTTGATACGCATCAGTACAGCTGCAAGAGTCTGGCCCCACTGTTTCTAGGGCAGTGCAGAGATTTTTCTGAATGCAACTTCTGTATAATTTGGAAAAGGTTAGTGTCATTCACATACCTTAACTCATTACCATGCTACTAAAGAGTACCAAGGATTAGTTATTTTGATAATACTCACATGAACAGCTCTGTGGAAAGGGACCTGGGGGTCCTGGTGGACAAGAAGCTCAGAGTGAACAGTGTGCTGCTGCTGCAACAAAGAAAGCCAACAGGATGCTGGGTTGCATCAACAAGGGCATGACCAGCAGAGATTAAGAAGTCATTATCTCACTGAGTGCTTGTCAGGCCACACCTGGAATACTTTTTGCATAGCGGACCAAAACTGAACAAAGATGTGGACAGGCTGGAGAGGGTCCAGCGAAGGGCCACAAAGATGATCAGAAGACTGGGAAGCCTGCCATGTGACGAGAGGCTGAGAGAACTGGGTTTGTTCAGCCTTGAAAAAGGAAGGCTTAGGGGAGGCCTTATCACCATGTTCCAGTATTTAAAGGCTGGCTACAAAGAAGATGGAGAATCCCTTTTTACAAGGAGTCACATGGAAAAGACAAGGGGCAATGGGTACAAGTTACTCCTGGGGAGATTCTGATTGGACACAAGAGGAAAATTTTTCACAATGAGAACAGTGAGCCATTGCAATAATCTCCCCAGGGAAGTGGCGGATTCCCCAACATTGGACACTTAAGATACAGCTGGACAGGGTGCTGGGCCATGTTGTCTAGACTGCACTTTTGCCAAGAAAGGTTAGACTAGATGATCCTTGAGGTCTCTTCCAACCTGGTATTCTGTGATTCTATGAAAGTTGTTGCAATACTGTAAAAGAGGGATAAATCTGTTCTAAAATATCTACACAGACAGTGAAACTGATTGGGAGCATTCAGATGTATTAATCCATCTGAACTTTGGCAGTGTACAGAAGACACTTCTAGCAGCTTCAAATTGCAGTGCCCAGTAACTAGTGAAACTCTTACCAGTGGGACAGTTCTCATCTTAATGACTTCATCACTTCCCCTCATCTCTGTTAGTGCAATGATTCCTTCCTTTACAGGATAGGCTCCCACCAGAAGCAACTAAAGGCACCACTGCGTGATTGCAAGACTTATTCTTCCCCTCCTTTATAACAGGAGGAACTGATCACATCTTAGTATCTGAGCCCTCTTTTCTCAAATCATATGATTTGGGGAGAAAAAGATTTTTTTCATACAAGTTTAAGAGTCAGGACATATCAAGCCAGCCCACAAACTCCCCTGCAGGTCAAGTTCCACTAGAACTTGTTTTTTGTGGGCCAGAATGGTTTGGGTCTGCTGTAATAAGACACTGAAGCTCTTCTGAAGAACAGTTTATTTCAAGTTAAATTCAAGACCTCATACATAACCAAATTAAAAAAAAAAAAAAAAAGAGAAGCAGACAAG